CAAAAAGAATTCCATTTTGTTAGTAATACTGACTTTTCAGTTCACACTTGGATTTAGTTTGACGTATACCAGGGCCTTGGGATAGCTCTTAGATTTAATCTAAAATGTATTAATTTGTGTTCTGAAGAAGAATGAAGGTCTCAAACATGGAACGACATGAGGGTGAGTAATTAATAACAGATATTTAATTTTGAGCTGAACTAACCCTTTATCAATACTCATAATTGTGTGCATCAATACTCACATTTTCTGTTGAAATAAACCAATAACATGTTCATGCTTTACCTTGCCAGGCACTTTGACATCTTCCTCCTCATGCAGAATATCAAACACTTGCACTTCTCCCAGAGGCAGTCCGTCACGGCTCTCTGTGTGGCTGTCATGATTCTCCTCTCCTCCTCCTCCTCCTCCAGCAGGAGCAGGCTCTGACGGCAGTCCAGCCCGGTGGCTGGACAGGATGCGATAGCGTTCCTCTCGCCTGGTGCTCCATTTGACACTGCGCAGATCACCGATGATCCTCTGACTGCTCCCTTGTGAAGGCCGCAAAGCATGATGGGCCAAACGTGGACGAGCAAGAGCCTCACGGACATGTGGCTGTACTGGAGCATCCTGTAAAGGCAATTGGCCAAAATAGGATTGTAGCAGCCAGTGAAAATTAAACAAAACAACACTTGATGATATAATAATGTCAGTCACAATTAACATGCAAGACATCTTATTAGTCATTTAAAGGGGCAGAATGCAAGTTTGACACCCAGGGGTTGAAAAGGGTATTGCACACATGGATCAAAACAGATTTTCACTCGACTCCTCTGACAGCTACATGCAAGTGCAAGTTGCCAGATTGACGACACCAACAGGAGTGTGCTTCACTATCTAGCCGAAATGCTGATTTGAACCCCTTTCAAACCAAAAGCAACAGCACACGAAATGTTTGCCATATTAAAAGAAGTTTTTGTCCTAACCAACACCTGAAATTTATAATTTTAGAGACGGCTTCTATTTCTCGCAGCTGAACAACAGGATGAACTATGATCACCTCAGGTACACCTCATGCACTTTATTCAGTGTAAAATGCTAATAATGTGAGTTCGAATGGCATTTTATATGACATTTATTGCCATACTACTGAAAGCAGCAGCAGATAACTTTAGAACTTTGACTCTGCGTAAGCCAACACATATCAGTGATTTAGCATCTACATTTAATAATGTTAAAGAGGTTTCATTTGTATTAATCATATTATAAACCATACCATTTTGTTGGAGTGCAGTAAGTGCACTATTTTGTGCTTCTGTATGGCTGTATTAAAATTTCGGTTGGGTTTCATCTAGTGCAAACAGCCAAAAACTTATCACTGCAAATCTCATCATGTAGTGTGTTGTTAGGACACGGACGATGTAACCCGCTCACCTAATGTTTTACGTTTGTAATATTTATATTATTTGCCAAATAATAACTACCTCATGTGAAATTCTGAATCAGTGTCTCATTTCTGGGCTGCTACTGTCCACCGGTTGCATTTTTGGTCGTGGGCAAATGCTTTAAGAGCCTTCCTGATTGACTGAATAAATCAAATATGCTGTTTTCCATGAAGGCAACCCTGGGTGCTGAAATTTATTTGGCTAAAGTGCCATTGGGTGAGTTAAAAGAACCAAAACAAAGGCAGCTGTTCCACCACGGAATGCCCATCTTCAAAGCTGAATTTCTGTCTTCAGCATTGTTTTTCAGATAAACAAGAATGTCTCTTAGCATGTTTTTTTAGATATCTGCAAACATATTATGGTATTTTTATGCTTTAGAAGAGTCAAACAAACTTTCAAAAGCACATTTAAACTTTTAAAATGACAAAGACTAATCAGACTGTTTGCACTTTTTTTACGACTAAGCACCAAATGCTTTAGGTGATTTATTTTCAACTGTAAGCATTTTTACATGTTAATAATATCACATACCTGACATACTGATTGAAAAATGCCTATCGCCTCAAACTTTACAGTAAGGCTCCATTTGTTTACATTAATTGAATTACCAAAGAAAACTACTTATTAACCTTAAATGTACATTTCTTAGTTAAGGTTTGATAAATCATTAAATCAATAAAGTCATAACTGTATAACTTAATGGACCTAATAACTAATACAGCTCAAACATATTTTTTATAACCAATAACTTCAAATGTAACCATTCCTTACTGTTGACGTTAATGCATTAACTAAAAGTAACTAATAAGCAGGCCTACACGGAATCTGCAGGTGCAGAAACCTGCAGATTTCGACAGTTTTTTAGCCCATCATTGAGCGTTTTTTTTTTTTTTTACTTGTGTAAATGCATGTAAACTTATAGCTATTCAGTTTTTAAATTAATTTAACTAATATTATGATATAATAATAATAATAATAATAATAAAACATTTATAATTTTTTAACAATAGAGTTTGTAAAGAAATATTTTCAGTATTTTAGTTGATCTATCATGAGAGACTTGCTTTATTTACCAAATAAGTGGATCTAATTGGATTTGTCTTGTAAACATTAAATAAAAAATAAAAAATGTATTATGTGTAGATTTCATATATAAGTTTAGTTATGAAACTCCTAAAATCATTCAGCATAAATCTGAAGATTTTTACTAAATTCTCTGCAGAAATAGCACAAAATGTTCACAGATTCTGTCAGGCTATACTAAAGAGACATTTTGTAAAGCATTACCTATAATATTTTCTAATCCTTTTGCAATTTAATTTGCTTGAAACATGTTTACTTTGAAATTTAATATACAATAAGGTAATCCACAATACTCTTGAGTTCTTTTTGTTATTGTGTCTTTTAAAGTAAGCCTTTTTTTTTTGTCAATATCCTGATAGCCTCAGCAACTATTGCAACAACAAAGTAACATTCACATCTAAATGAAACAAATAATTATGACAGATTTAACCTCAGCAAACATCTGAAATGTATTTATATAATCTTAGTCTCTTCATATTCATACATCACTGTCTGCAACAGGCAATGAAGAACATAAAGGTGTAATTTCAGACTGTCACTTCTGATTCTGTCACAATCTTTGAGGAAGGCAAATGATATTGTAAAACACCTTCAGTTAGCTAAACGCCAAATATCATCTGCCTCAAAATAAAAACACTCATAAAACGATATTATTTGACAGGCACGTTGGCATGTCATGACGTCATTACGCATCATCACCAACCACCGAAAACAATACAATATCTCGCAGCGCAGCTCGTTTCAGGTGTCAGTTGTCGACACGACAGCCTAATCAGTCGTTACCTGTGAAACCACGGTGGCCACTAGCTTGAACACGGAGTTCTCTATCTTGGGCTCCTGTGGTTCTGGCTCGCTTTCATCGCTGGGCTGAGCCGCCGTGGCCTCCGGACGGATCCGTTTACAGGCCAGCAGCAGCGCGTCCGCCGGATCAGTGCCCCTCTTCCTCTTCACGCGCAGAATGGTCGTGCTCGGGTCCATTTCGCTAAAGACTGCTGCGTCACCGAACTGACGATTTCAGATGACAGACAAACCGATGCACGAGGCAGCCAGTGACAACAACAACCTACGCTGTAGCCTTTCTTTCTTCCTTTTCACTCGTTTTTTCTCCTTTGGTGTTTTTCCTCTTTAGTGACCATCTAACTGAGGAACAGCAGCGCCACGCCGCGTCCTGGAGGGGCTTAAGTGTTCAAATACGGCCGCATATTGTTGCAATTAACCGCCTGCAGAGGTCGCGGTTTAATTGCGTTAAATTAAAGATTGGCGAAAAGCGGCCACTTGAAAACCTAGGATTGACTACTGTTTACTATTGGCCTCAACCTAGCTAAACAGCTTATGAAATTACTATAATTTTTTCGGGACATTTATAAACTTTGGCTGAAGAGGCAATTTGTGTCGGCTGCTGTTTTTGTTAGTATTGGACTATGGGTTTTTGAAAACAACCAAGCTAAACATTAAAATAATGTGTGTTTTGGTACATGTTTAAATTTGAGCAAAATGACGTCATTTGGAATTATCATGTTTTTATTATCATTATTATTATTATAGACCATAAAACATGGTTGTAAACAACCCAGCTAAACAACGTAGTAAATTATAATAATATTTTTAGGGACTTCTATAAACATTGGCTAAAAGAGGCTATTTGAAATCCTTTTTGAATCCAGTTTTTGTTTAGACTATTACAGTACATTAATTTTTAAAAACAACTTTAAGTCAGCATTTTCTTTTTCCTTAAAAACTAGCCGTTAAAATGATTTGCCTGTTATAACATTCATTCATTTTCTTTTCAGCTTGGTTCCTTTATTAATCAGGGGTCGCCACAGCAGAATGAACCGCCAACTTATCCACCAAATGTTTTACGCAGCGGATGCCCTTCCAGCTGCAACCCAATCACTGGGAAACCTGTTATAACATTTTAAATGCAATTTCCATATTTACATTTACAATAGGCAACTGACAGATTTAACTGACATAGATTTTCTTTAGCCCTATAAGATAAGCATATAGCAAACTAAAATTTCCTCCAAAGTGAAAAAGTACCATTACACACAATTAAGTAAATAAATAAATTCAGAACGTTTAGTTTGTTTGTTCAGTGAAAAATATTAACTGCAAACACAAGTTGAAAATGATTTACATGGTCTAAATTTAAACAAACAAATTGAATGAAGAAAATGTCCAACTTGATTTCTGTTAAATTCACTCCATATTGTTTGCCGTTGTAAAAAAATTATAAATACAATTTTTTCAGTGTTGAGGTAAAATTGGTTTTATATTCCCTTTATATTAGCAAGAATCACAACCACTACACATGAAATTGTGTAGGTTTAAGCCACACTGCGTTTACAGTGTAACTGATTATATATTAGCCTACCTATTATAAAGCAATATTTAATATTGAGGTTAATCTTGATTTGTACACATCTATTACATCTCCCTTTGTCCCATTTTATTCAATGACATCAGAATCGATTGAGTCCGCAGTACATGCGCTCCTGGAGATCAATAAAAGAAACACTTCTGTGTGAATGCGCTCACACCCCCATCCCCCGACACACAGAATCATGGAGAGAGAGAGAGAGAGACAGAAAAAGCCCTCTTTCACACACACACATACACACACGCACCCACGCTCGCGCACTCGCACACATCTTCTGTTGAAGCGCTCAGAAGCGCGAAGCCACTGACAAAGTGCGGATGAAAATGAGTGGGACACTCGTGTTAGAGTAAACGCGTGTTGTTGAGTTCGACTCTAAACTCTGAACTGATCACCATGGGAGCTGTTTGGACTGTACGGCTCCTCTGTTTGTTTTTGCTCTTGTTAAACACTCGCCAAAGCGCCGCACTTCCTCACAACACTGGTAAGAGTCTTTACTTTGTTACACGCGATGCTCTACACACGCAATTTCAATTCGCACGCCTTTGCGGCTTGTTTACGTCCTCTTGTTTGGATACACTGTTTTGGGGGGGGCTATCGTTCATAAACTACAACCGATTTTTTAGTACGGTATGGGTAATTATTTCTTTGACATTTAATATTTTTGGGATTTTTGAGTAACAGAATAAATTACACTGTGTTTAGATTGTTATTGTTGCAGTATCGAGGTTTGTTTACAACTCCAAACTCCCCACTCTTGCGCTTTTTCTGTTGGGAATTATATTGCGAACATTATTATAACAAACTAAACAATATTTACTATTGTTTTTGTGATACGCAGATCAATGTGCAGAGGGAAGTGATGCCTGTCACATTGATGCTATTTGTCAAAATACCCCAACTTCATACAAGTGCACTTGCAAAACAGGCTTTAAAGGGGACGGAAAACACTGTGAAGGTAACAGCTCTGTTAGTCAGTGGAATATTCAATATTATAGTAAATACTGATATCCTTTTTTTCTTAACAGAAGAGGAAGTTCTTGATTACTTTTTTTCTCCCAAATAGTTTTTTAACCATTTAAACGTGTTTTTAAAGAGCAGTTCCCCTATAATTCAGAAGAAATAGCAAACATTCGTCAGCCTTGATTTCTGTTCCATTTCCTAGACATTGATGAATGTGATGTGGAATACAATGGTGGCTGTGTACACGAATGTAACAACATACCTGGCAATTACCGCTGTACTTGCCTTGATGGGTTTCATTTGGCACATGATGGGCACAACTGTCTCGGTGAGTAGAAATTTGGGAAGAAATCATGTATACATGTGTAAAGGGGTAAAGTTAATGATTCCCACTGCAAGTGTTTTGGAACATAATCAAATGGCTTTGACTGAAAGGCTGTTCACACCTAGCATAAGTCATAATAATAATAACAACAACAATAGAGTGCTGGGTAGGGCTGCACAATATTGTTAAAATGTAACATTGCCTTATTTTTTTATTTTGCAATACATATAGTGATATAAAAACAATTTAACTAGATGTGTTAAATAAGTATTTGGAAGGAATTCATTTTAGATTGATTGGGATGATTTTTTAGGGGAGTGCATATGCATAAACAATCTACAAGCATAAATGAATTTAATAATGAAAAAGATACGAATTAAATAAACAGCGTTTGATTGTTTTTTGAGGAGTTGAACTGTATTCAGGTATAGGCCATTTTGAGAGATGTACACAAAAACAATGGTCCCAGTGTATTTTCTGTTTTACATTTTTGATTTCTATTGCTTCTGAGAATCCAAAAAGAGCCACATATTGATAAATAATGTTATCATAGCTGTTTTAACATTGTTATGATTGAATTGCCTCTTGTTACAGTTATGAAAATGTTCATGGGCCAATGACATGACCACTTTGAAATGGACTGTACGGGAGGTGAATAAACGAATGTAAAACAATACTGCGTGGTCTTCATGTTATAAACAATTCAATCATTATTGATTTGTCAAAGTTACAAACTGTATTTTTTTAGGCCTGAATGCTTTTAAAACCCTCACATACAAACATGTTTATTATTATTATATTATATATTTTATTTTATTATATAATTATAATCTAGACTCAATATTGCATGTTTTCGCGATGTGACTATTGTGAATGAACACATTGCAAGATCAATGCTAAAATGATATATTGTGCAGCTCTAGTGCTGGTCACAGATTAATCGCGATTGACTGCATCCAGAATAAAAGTTTATTTTGATATAATTATGTATATGTGTGTGCATTACATGTATTTATTATGTACATAAAAACAAAGATATACATTGTTTTGCATAGATATTTTAATTAATTTGTAATTTGTATCGCAAGCATGAGCACATATCTCCAGTTCTTTCCTCTCTGGGCTGGCTGCCTGTTAGATCAAGGATTGATTTTAAATGATTCTTTTTGTTTATAAGTCATTAAATGGTCTGGCACCACCTAATTATTGGATCTCTTACATGTACAGTTAAAGTCAGAATTATTAGCCCCCTTTGAAAATATTTATTTTTTTTAAATATTTCCCAAATAATGTTTAACAAAGCAAGGACATTTTCACAGTATGTCTGATACTATTTTTTCTTCTGGAGAAAGTCTTATTTGTTTTATTTTGGCTAGAATAAAAGCAGTTTTTAATTATTTTAAAACAAATTTTAAGGTCAATTATTTGCCCATTTAAGCTATATATTTTTAATAGTCTACAGAACAAGCATCATTATACAATAACTTGCCTAATTACACTAACCTGCCTAGTTAACCTAATTAACCTAGTTACGCCTTTAAATGTCACTTTATAGAAGGGCATAGAAGAGTCTTGAAAAATGTATTGTGAAATATTATTTACTGTAATCATGGCAAAGATAAAATAAATCAGTTATTAGAGATGATTTAATAAAAATGTTATGTTAAGAAATGTGTAGAAAAAAAATCGTCTCTCCATTAAACATAAATTGGGGAAAAAATAAAAACAGGGTTTGGGGGGTAATAATTGAGGGGGCTAGTAATTCTGAATTCAACTGTATATAATCCTGGTAGGTCACTAAGGTCTTCTGATCAGTTTATTCCTTCTGTACCAAGGTCCTGGTGTAAGCGAAGTGAGGATTGGGCTTTTGCTTTTATCACCCCAAATTTCTAGAACAAGCTTTCACCCCACATTAGACACGCTCCAACTTTATCTGTTTTTAAAAAGCTTCTGAAACTGCATCTTTGTTCTTCAGCATTTGATCTTTTTAATGTTGAGGGGTTTGCCTTCTGTTTTAATTGTTATGTATGTAATGTAGGACTCATTTTAATTATTGACTGTGTTGACAGCACTCTGGGCAACGTTGTGTTTTAAAAAATGTGCTATTTACTAAACTAAAACTAAACTACATATAGTTTATATCTTAATATAAATAAACATTTTTTCAAATATATGCATGCATATTTACTTAGATATACATAATAAATCTACATAGTACTCACATATCCACATATAACTTGTCAAAACAAACTTTTATTTAGGATGTGATTAATCTTTTTCCAGCACTAAAATATCAAATAAAAATCGTTGTGATAATATTGAGTGGCAGAATCAACACCACAACTATAATAGCAGATTTTGTTTTCCAGCTGATGAATTATAAAAACACTGACAGCCAATCAGAATTCATTCTGCTGTAAATAGCTTGAACCTATTAAGTGCCAAATTGCTCCAAGCCAGACAATATTATTCACCAGTAATCGTTCTTGTTGTAAACATGCCACGAGTTATTGTTGCATATGGAAATGTGTGGTTTGCAGTGCTTTAACATACTCTGTCTCTAGATGTGGACGAATGTGTCTTCAACAATGGCGGCTGTCAGCATGTATGTGTCAACACCATGGGAAGCTATGAGTGTCGCTGCAAGCAAGGCTTTTTCCTGAGTGACAATCAGCACACATGCATCCATCGCTCCGTGGGTGAGCCGCTGCCTTCAACACACCTTTATCAGCCTATGTTCACCATCATATTGATCAATGAGTGTATGTTAGTATGGTTTCTTCTGATGTGATGTAAATGGTCAGTTCCAAATAGCAATCATGACGGTCATTTTGTTGTCTTCGTCACAACTTCGGATGTCAAACGAGCATGAAGTGAGATGCTTGTTTTATTTTGCAGAGGTGTCAGTAAGCAAAGTCAACGGAAAGGCAACCTAATTTCTAATAGTTCTCACATAAGATCGTGATTGACAGCACAATGGCGAATGACAGCTTTTAAGTTGGGTTCCCTCTCTGGGCATTATCTATAGCCGTTCATTTTCAAAGGACCCATGCTGTGGGAAAGGGAGCCCCGTGTTCAGAGGAACAAAACAAGTTAATAACTGCAACACTCAGGGCTTTGTGGCCTGTGTCATAGATGAGAATAAAAAAGCTTTTTATGTGTCTGTAGCTTCTCAGCTGCGAGTATTGTTTTCCCCTTGGTAAATTGAGCTAAGGTTTGCAAGGCTTTCCACCCCATTTGCTTTCTCTGGGTAAACTTGCTAAGTCCTATCAGCACATCCACTGAGCTGCAGAGTGAATGGGAGGAAACAGACTCTCTACATTGACCCATAGAGCCGCTACTGATGTCAGGTCAGGTTTGCGGCTGTTGAATTTGAAAGGAAATGCAACAACAGGTGCCCCGAAAGAATATTTTCCTCACTTAAAGGGATAGTTTGCCAAAAAATTAAAATTTATGCACTATTTACTCAAGCGGTTCCAATCCTTTATGCGTTTCTTTCTTCTTGTGAACACAAAAGAAGATATTTTGAAGAAAGGAAGTCAATGGTTTCAGGTTTCCAACTGACTTCAAAGTATTTTTTTTGTCTTTAACAGAAGAAAGTAAAGGGTGAGTAAATGGCAGAATGTTTTATTTTTGGCGTGTACTATCCCTTTAAAACTGATCGGTAATGTAAATATTAGTTAATTTGTCTGTGAACTTTGTTAGGGATGTAAAGTTCATCATGAAACACAAGCTACAGAATTTCAAAGGGTTTTTCTCTAATCAAATAATAATATTTTTAGATAAAAACAACATGTATATAATGTACGGTTGCTTTCACAAACTTTCAAAATGTAATATTGAATTATTAATAGATTATAGCAGAAATATTATGATAGTACACCTAGCAGTAAAGATCTGTTATTTTGTCATTCTACTTTCACGAAAGAAGAAATTTTGGAACATGTATAGAAAATAAATCTTCCAATGGTCACCATAACTGTTTGGTTACCAACATTTTCCAAAATATTATATTTTGTGTTTAACAGAGGAAAGTAAAGGGTGAGTAAATGGCAGAATGCTTTGTTTTTGGGGTGAACTATCCCTTTAAAGGCGATGTGTAACGTAAATATTAGCTAATTTGTCTGTGAACTTTGTTAGGGATGTAAAGTTCATCATGAAACACAACCCACAAAAATTTAAGGTTTTTCTCTGATCAAATAATAATATTTTGAGATAAAAACAACATGTATATAATGTACGGCTGCATTCATAAACTTTCAAAATGAAATATTAAATTATTTATAGATTATAACAGAAATATTATGATGCTTCACCCAAAAGTAAAGATCTGTTATTGAAAGTAGATATTTTGGAATATGTATATGAAGTTTATCTTTCAAGGGTCACCATAACTGTTTGGTTATGAACATTTTTCAAAATATATTCTTTTGTGTTTCACAAAAAAAAAAAAAAAACCTGAAAGTCATACATGTTTAGAAAGACACAAGGGTGAGTAAATAATGACAGAATTAGTATTGATTGAATGACATACGTGTCATTTAAAGGAAGATTAAATTGAATTCAAGCGTTTAAATGGCTGTCACAGTGGTGCAGTGGGTAGTACGATCACCTCGCAAACTTGCTGGTTCGAGCCTCGGCTGGGTGAACTGGCATTTCTGTGTAGAGTTTGCATGTTCTCCCTGTGTTCACGTGGGAGTGCTCCGGTTTTCCCCACAAGTTCAAAGACTTGATATAGGTGAATTGAATAAGCTTAATTGTCCGTAGTGTATGTGTGTGAATGAGTGTGTATGGATGTTTCCCAGTGATGGAGTGCAGCTGGAAGGGCATCCACTGCGCAAAACATGTGCTGGATAAGTTGGTGGTTCATATCACTGTGGCGACCCCAGAATAATAAAGGAACTAAGCGGAAAAAAACAAAACAAATGAAGGGTTTAAATATGTCCATAGTTTTATTAAACACCAAAAGCAAATGTTTCAGGCTCTCTGACCATATCTCTTTTTCGCAGAAGGCCTGAGCTGCATGAATAAAGAGCATGGCTGTGGTCATATCTGTAAGGAGAGTCCAAAAGGTGGCGTGGCCTGTGAGTGCCGGCCGGGCTTCGAACTGGCCAAGAACCAGCGGGGCTGCATCTGTACGTGCGAATGTGTTTCTAACCCGCCATAAAGCTGAAAAATGCCACAAGACGGCTGTTGATGTGATGCTGTTTTGCTTGTCAACAGTGACCTGCAACCATGGTAATGGGGGCTGCCAGCACATCTGTGAGGATACCGAGCAGGGGCCAATCTGCAGATGCCACGTCAGGTACATGCTGCACGCAGATGGCAGAACCTGTGTAGGTAAGGCTGCTTTACTTATTTTAAAGCTTTGCTATCGATCCATTAAAGGGATAGTTCACCCGAACGTAACATTTTACACACTATCAAGTGTTTGCAAACCTTTGTGTTTTTGTAATAAGGTAGAAAAGAAGATATTTTGAAAAGTGTTGGAAACCGGTAGCCATATTGATATGCAAAGTCAATGGAAGTCAATGGCTACCTGTTTCCAACATCCTACAAAATAACTAGTATCATTTTAGCAAGACTAAATGGCAAAAAAAAAATCATGCAGTGTGATTATACACTGTAAAAAATGCTGGGTTCTACACAATTCCTTCATGTTGTCCCAAACAAATAGAATAACTTAACTGTTTTTACAAATTTAAGTGGATTGCACATAAAACAAAGAAGTTGTCCCCAAAAACCTCAACAATTGTGTTGATTCAGCTCATTTTAAACAAGTAGTTTAGTTGAGTGTATACAATGTCTGAGCCTATTTTTTTAAAATCGTTTTCAGTATCCCAGCTCTTATTTGTGCATTTAGTTAAAAAAAAATTCCCCATGCCACTTTTTTTACACCACATGAAGCATAAACATTTCAGACATTGTACAAAACATGCTGAACGTCTTTGTAGGAACAAGGCTGCCTTGTTGTGAAATGCAAGTTGAGTGGAAAAGCTGCTTGTCAGGTCTGGTCTACACAACTCTTTGGATGTTAAGACTAACAGAGACAGCAGAATGGAATAAAGTCGTGCATGCCAACAATCTATGCATCTTCCACTGCCCAGACAGACGTAATGGCAACATGCACTAAGAATAATGGCTCTTTATTGGCACTTGATAGTTCCATGAAGAACCATTTCAACATCCATGTAATCTTTCATTCTTTTTTGCCAAATATATTTATTAACATTTTGTGCAGATACAATAGCATATACAGTTGAAGTCAGACTTATTAGTCCCCCTGAATTATTAGCCTCCATGTATATTTTTTTCCCCAGTTTCTGTTTAACGGAGGGAAGATTTTTCAACACATTTCTAAACATAATAGTTTTAACTCATTTAGGTAGGTAGTGCTGTTGCCTGACAGCAAGAAGGTCGCTGGGTCGCTGATTCGAACCTCGGCTCAGTTGGCGTTTCTGTGTGGAGTTTGCATGCTCTCCCTGCCTTCGCGTGGGTTTCCTCTGGGTGCTCCAGTTTCCCCCACAGTCCAAAGACATGCGGTACAGGTGAATTGGGTAGGCTAAATTGTCCGTAGTGTATGAGTATGTGTGTGTGGATGTTTCCCAGAGATGGGTTGCGGCTGGAAGGGCATCCGCTGCATAAAAACTTGCTGGATAAGTTGGCGGTTCATTCCGCTGTGGCGACCCCGGATTAATAAAGGGACTGAGCCGACAAGAAAATGAATGAATGAATAACTCATTTCTAATACAGGTTTATTTTATCTTTGCCATGATGACAGTACATTATATTATACTAGATCTTTTTCAAGACACTTCTATACAGCTTAAAGTGACATTTAAAGGCTTCATTAGGTTTTACTAGGCAGGTTAGTGTAATTAGGCAAGTCATTGTACAGGGCGGGCCATTTATATAGATACACCTTAATAAAATGGGAATGGTTGGTGATAATAATGTCCTGTTTGTGGCACATTAGTAAATGTGAGGGGGCTTTTAAATAACTCATGAAAGAATATAGTTACATTAAAACCAAGCCCACCATTGGTTTTTCTTGTGAAATTCCCAATAAGTTTAAGGCGTATCAATATAAATAGCCCACCCTGTATAATGCTGGTTTGTTCTGTAGACTATTGAAAACAAATATAGTTTTAAGGGGCTAATATTTTTGATCTTAAAATTGTTTTTTAAAAAACTTAAAACTGCTTTTATTCTAGCTGAAATAAAACAAATCTAGAAGAAAATCTCCAGAAGAAAAAATATTTATCTGGTGCATTTTTACAGCAGTTTATTTCAATGGATGTTTTCATCCTGAACATAAGAAAAAGAGTATTACATTTGAACAGTGCACAAGACTTAATGCCTTACATATATAGATCATATATAGTTTAAAGCAGGGGTCACCAACATGGTGTCTGTGGGCACCAGGTAGCCCTGCGAGGATCACATGAGTTGCCCGTGAGTTGCCTGTTTGAAAAATAGTTGTGTGTATATATGTGTGTGTATATGTGTGTGTATATATATATATATATATATGTGTGTGTGTGTGTGTGTGTGTGTGTGTGTGTGTGTGTGTGTGTGTGTGTGTGTGTGTGTGTGTGTGTGTGTATATATATATATATATAAGAGTGACTAAAAAAGTAACTGTCGTGTGTAATGTGAAAGTATGAGTTAAGTTATTTTTGCGTGTTATTTATAAGACTAAGATAGGTAATCATGATATATTACTTATTAAAGTAACTTTAGCCAACACTTTTTGTGATATTTCAGTAATTTCGATACATATTTAATACATACTTTTCACTAAAGGATACTTTTGGGGAACAAAAATGGTTATTGTATGGCATCACAAACACTTTTTTTGAAACCTTTATTGTTTAGTCATCTGGCAACATCTGTATTGGAGCTTCTATTATAAGGCAGCATATGTATTAAGCTTCTGTTGCTCCTGTTGCTGTTTTTTGGCAAAGACATAGCAGGAGAAAGAGCACCAAAGGATACACACAAACCAGATCTGAACAGTTGTGATACACAGTGTAGACAGATCAGATTCTGTTCTGATACACCATTAATCAGATTTGCAGTGGCAGTGTGAATGTAGCTTTAACGTTTACGATGATCTCTTGGCAGGTATTTTAAGCTGATCTTTATTTTATCCACTTATGTGCAAAGGTGGTGATAGAGATCTCTCATTCAGACACAAACACACACTTTTATCTGATAATGAGGAAGCACAGCTGGAGCCTGCGGGCTGTGTGTGTGGGCTCTGTATTTATCGCTGTCTCGCTCTCTCCACATCGTCCATGATTTTGCCTCTGCTCATCTTGATTGTCCTGATTCACAGAACATATAATAATCTTTATGTATCTGCGGACACTACAACACAATGCAAGGGTGTTTATCGCAGAGTCGAGCAGACAGGGAGGTCTCTTTGCTTAGGGCTGTTTAAGAAAATGTCAACATGGTTAGTTTGTAGGTTACATTTTGAGGAATGATTGAGTGATGTCACAATGGAAGATGTCTCAGCAACGTAATATGTGTTTGCATTAAAAATATTTTGTTTTTAAAATGTTTAAAAATGCAATTAATATCAGAGACGGCATGATGATATTTCAGGATTATGAAGTCAGTCATCAGTGTGTGTATACTGTGCTCAGCATATGTAAGGACACCCCCCCACAAATCTCTCATTTAAACGAATATTTTCCATAGGATGCTTTACAATATAATATTTGTGCATATACATTAGAATAGTTAGTACTGAAGTCAATTCTGGAGCTAATCTAAACAAAATGACTTGCAATAATGGTTTAAAAATTTTGTTGACCAAATTTATATGTTAGAGAAAAATATTAAATAACATTTTCAAAAATATTTAGCATGAATTAAAACGTATTGCCTTTCAATTTCTAAAGATATTCTTTGACTAAAATATTAATTTATTAAATATATCTGTTTAATAAATCTTTTTTGTTCAAATGCACCATATATTACCCAAATTCGTTGAGTAATGGATAAAAATGTTAATTTTCAAAAAAGGATGTACTTATATGCTGAGCACTGCGTTAAAATGAGTACCTGGTCAACGTATTAAAATGATTTACGAGGGGTCATGTTATTTCATATCTAAACTTTGATTAATTAGTTAAGACAATTTTTTTATAATAAATAGAAACTATAGAAATAAAATTTAAGTTTACAAATTTAAAAAAAGTATTATATGACGACTGGAAAGTTCAAAAGGTTGATTATTTTGTTTAACAGTGTGAAAGTTTTTTTTGGTCCCCTGAACAATGTTACCTAGCTAAAAAGCTTATATTTATATTTACATAACAATAAAGTAAAACAGTGTAATAGAGAATATCCTATGGGTCTTTACATTTTTGAAATTCACTTTAAATAAGTAGATGTTAGAAAATATGGCGTATTTTGAATGTAAATCGTGAAGGAAAAAGAACCATTATATTTTGTGAATTATTTAAAAAATGATTCCTTCAAAAATTGTAGAATTTTTATTAATTGAAAAAATTAAAAAGCTATTAAGGCTTTTATCTTTTGTAATGTTTATTGATGTTGACGTATTTGAATTGTTATGATGATGATGATGATGATGATAATGATAATGAAGAAGCCTTTATTTGTCACATACACTTTTAACATGTAGTGAAATTGGACCCCCTCGACCATACACAAAATCACACATTTTAGGGGAAGACAGGTCAGACGAGAGGTAGCTTAAGAGGAAATAAGATACATTTGGAATAAGGGAGGTGGAAAAAAAACTCATACAGTCCTTGAAGTAGGGCAGTGTGAGATCAGGAGAAAGAAAAAGTTATAGAAACGTGTTACAACACTTTGTTGTCATTACTTTGTGTATTTTCATAGCTCTTTATTTTTTCATGAAATTATTATGTATTATAGATCGTATTATGATTTTGTTGCATTATAAAAAGAGGAACTGTGCAGTCGGTATGAATTTCTACCTCAGAAAGAACTTGCATTAATAAATGATTTCATCAATATTAATTATTCTGACATTTCAACAAGTATTTTATATACTATATAACAGTACAATACAATGTCAAGCCAATATTGTTTCTTATGTTTTATTCATCTTTTCCAGAAAGGGATGAAATGGCCCCCACCGCCCCAGATCACAATGCCACGTCTTTAGCAGAGGTAGACAAACGAGTCAAGCGGCGACTGCTTATGGGTAAATTTCTACCACCAACAATCTGTACATCAACAGATAATTCCAAAATGTTCCGTTTCCCCAAGAGAAACGGGCTAAATCTATCAATGCTTAAAGAGACATCCAAGAAGCATTACATTCGCCTATAGTTCATATATTTAGACACGCATGGCCTGGCCAAGCTGAGCATTCCTCAGTCTTTTAGGTAAACTGTGAAATGACTGGGGACCCACACTTCACCACCTCTGATTTCTCTCTTGTAAAATATGTCCTGGTGATAGAGTGGTACATTTCACATGTTTTTTTCTCTCAGAGAGAGAGAGAGAGATAGAGACTGGCGATGTTTATTGTACAGTGCTGAGTGTTGTATTTGTCTCTGCCAACTCATATTTACACAACGCACTGAGTATGGCCTCTCTGCCTTTGGCCTTCTACATCTGTGGAGAATGATATAGTATACAGACTGTTGAAATATTAATGAACTGATTAGTCTTTGGATTTCTGACCACGCTTTCTAACCTGTTGCGCATGTCTTTGGTTTGCTCTTAAGAGACGTGTGCGGTGAATAATGGAGGCTGTGACAGCACTTGTAAGGACACATCCACTGGTGTTCGCTGCAGCTGCCCGGTGGGATTTACTCTGCAGCCTGATGGCAAATCCTGCAAAGGTTTGAATCAGCATTTCTATCACAATGTTGCCGTACACACATTTTTTAATAAGTTTCTTTTAGGTAAAAGCTCATAAAAATATGTTGAAGTCACATTGCACATTTAAAATAAAAAAGTTTAGAAATTGCCGAAATCAATTAAAAGTTCGGGCTAAGATTTTATTTCTTTATTTATTTCTTTATTTATTTATTCATACATTTATTCATTCATTCATCATTTATTTATTCAATCATTCATTCATTCATCATTTATTTATTTATTTGTCTATAGTGCAAATGTGCACTATATATAATTTATTTTTGTTTTTAAATATTTCCCAAATTATGTTAAATTTTCACAGTATGTCTGATAATATTTTTTCTTCTGGGGAAAGTCTTATTTGTTTTATTTTGGCTCGAAAAAAAGCAGTTTTAAATTTTTTAAATGCCATTTTAACAATTAGCCAAAATGGACAATATATTTTTTCAATAGTCTAAAGAACAAACCATTGTTATACAATAACTTTCCTGATTACCCATATCTGCCAATTAACCTAATTAAGCTAGTTAACCCTTTAAATGTCACTTTAAGCTGTATAGAAGTGTCTTGAAAAATATCTAGCAAAATATTATTTACTGTCATCATGGCAAAGATAAAATAAATCAGTTATTAGAAATGAGCAGAGCCAGACGGAATCTGCGGACGTTTTTTGCTATTTCTGCAGAGAATTTTGGTAAAAATCTGCTGATTTCTGCGGAATTATTTTGGGAGTATTATAACTAAAACCTTAATATATGAAATAAAAAGTAATAAATTACTGAATAAAAACTGAATAAATTCAGATTTACACATTTACTCAAGTAAATAACAGAAATAATGATGGGCTGAAAATCTGCAGAAATCTGTGGAATCCTGCGGAAAATCTGCGGAATTCTGCGCGCAGATTCCGTGTGGGCCTAGAAATGAGTTATTAAAACTATTATGTTTAGAAATGTGTTGAAAAAATCCTCTCTCCATTAAACCGAAATTGGGGGGAAAAATAAGCGGGGCTAATAATGCAGGGGGGCTAATAATTCTGACTTCAATAAATATATTTAATATATTTATATAATAAATAATATATAATAAATAATATATATTTTTTCTTTATATATATATATATGAAACGGATTTATTACATACATGGATGTTATATTAATTCAGAGAAAATAAAGCAATGTTTTACTGTTGCATAAATATATAAAATAGTTTTTAAACATGCATGCTCAAATAATTACCGATTTTTCAACATAAAAGCACCATATCCACTCTGCTTGCTTTCAAAGATGTGTGTAGGCATTTAACTGCATTGCTTGATGTGCTAAAAAGCTTTTCAGAGTGCAGGCACACAAAGGCATTTCTTCATTTATTATTATTGCTCATTTATTGCAACCCATTGAGATATGTAAATTGCCATATGCATGTTTGTGGTATTTCAACAATTTTGATATACTGCACAGCCCTAATTCCAATCAATTATGAATGATCAAGTAACTCCAAACATTACCTTAAAATAAATGAATAAATTACCCAACACCAAATATCTGGGCTGTGAAATTGCTGAGAGGCTAGTAACATTGAAAAACCACTAGTTGGGGTGGTTAAAAAGAGTTACTGCCAAGCCCTGTAAACACCTTATAATGTTTTTTTTTGCTTAACTGTCATTTTAATGTCACAAGTAAAGGTCACGCTTTATTTCAATGTATAATTCACACTATTAGCAAACCGTTAAATAAGGCTTTTAGCTCAATAAAGTACTAATTAGCTGCTTATTAATAGTTAGTAAGGTAGGATTAGGAATGTAAAATGACAATTAATACTTTTTAAGTGCTAATGAACAGTTAATATCTGTATAATAAGCCAGTAGTAATTGGTGTGAATTGTTCCTTAACTTAAAGTGTTACCCAAATAACATTCTGGAAAGGTTTAACCCTACAGCTGATTAGTTCATCTATGTTCTGTAGTGTGATTTGGTCCTTCTCTGTCTCTCAGACATAGATGAGTGTGAGCTCCACAATGGCGGCTGTGACCACTACTGCAGGAACACCATTGGCAGCTTCGAATGTAGCTGTCGGAAAGGCTTCAAGCTGCTGACGGACGAGCGTTCATGCCAGGGTACGACTGCTATAGGCCCAACACAACACAGCGTGGGGTTTGTGTTAGCATCTGTGTTTGTAACTAGCTTTAGAGATAAGACAGGGTGGGAGCCAGTATCGACTTGCAAGATTCCTTTGAAGATCCTTAACACAGACTAAGTGTATAACGCTCATCTCTTGAAGAATACTTTTCATTTAAGCACACAGACAACACCCTCTCCTTGATACCAGTCTTCTAAGAAAAGTACCTCTCCCTGTTATTGATTCATTTCTTTCAAACTCAATATGGAATAGCAGTGTGTTTGATGCAGTAACTGTGTATTTTAGTATTTAAGTAAATCCAATTTTTTTGTTTGATTATAGATATTGATGAGTGCTTTTTTGAGAGGACGTGTGACCACACTTGCGTAAACTCACCTGGCAGCTTCCAGTGTGTTTGCAACAAGGGCTACACTCTCTACGGACTTGCTCATTGTGGAGGTAAGGATACAAATAGATATTTTAAGAGTGTAAAAATTATGATTTTAAAAATAAAATCAAGGCGACAGACTTGCTAAAAGCCTGTGTCAACTCAAGTTTCTATATGTACGGTGGCCGAGAGAGCTTAAATGTCCTGCATGTTAAGAAAATACATGCAAATAAAAAACTACTTACACAATTTGTCAGTTTAGTTTAGTTTAGTTTAGCTGCTTTATTAATCCCACCAGAGGCAATTAAATTAGGGCAGTAGCATCATGATACAACAAACACAATAATTCATTCATTTTCTTTTCGGCTTAGTTCCTTTATTATTTATCTAGGATCGCCACAGCGGAATGAATCGCCAACTTATCCAGCATTTGTTTTATGCAGCTGATGCCTTTCCATCTGCAACCCATCTTTGGGAAACATTCATACACACTCATTCACTCTCATACACTACGGACCATTTAGCCTACCCAATTCATCTGTATCGCATGTCTTCGGACAGAGGGGGAAACCGGAGCACCCGGAGGAAACCCAAGCAAACACAGGGAGAACATGCAAACTCCACACAGAAATGCCAACTGACCCAGCCGAGGCTTGAACCAGCGACTTTCTTGCTGTGAGGCGACAGCACTACCTACTGCGCCAATGTATCGCCCACAACAAACACATAAAGAGACAAATCACTTACAAACAATATTAAAAAACACAATCCAGGATGCTTCATAATAACTTCACACGGAAATATCTCCTGGCCCAGCTGGATATCGAACCAGCAACCTTTATGCTTTGAGGCGACAGTGCCAACCACTGAGCCACCTGTGCCACCAAGTCTGACCGTATATAGCATGCAAATTTTCACAACACATGCCAATACAGAGACACAGTGCAAATAGTGCAGATCGCAGTGAAAATGTGTTGGAGGACCGCAAAAAGTGATAAACCCAATCGCTTCCTGTTTAGAGTCAGTGGTGTAGTCGGAGATCTGAAAAGTGAGTTTTTGACCATTCGGTTCATTGTTTATGCATTTTTAGCCTTAGTAATCTGACAAATTGCACAAGTTTCAGAATTTAATATATACATGCAGTGAAAGATTATCCATAAAAATTCAAGACATTGGCTGACCTTATTGTTTATGCATTTTTAAAAGAGTATTTAAAAGAATAGTTTGTCCAAAAATACAAATTTGTTAACTTATGGTCCATATAAACCAGGGGTGGTCAACCCTGTTCCTGGAGATCGACCTTCCTAAAGAGTTCAGCTCAAACCATGATCAAACACACCTGAATCAATTAATTAGGACCTGAACAGCACTTGATAATTACAGGCAGGTGTGTTTAATATGGGTTGCAACGGAAATCTGCAGGAAGGTCAATCTCCAGGAACAGGGTTGGTCACCCCTGATATAAATAGATAATCAATAGTTCTCTGCACTGTATGTCAAAACAATAATAATAATAATAATAATACAGGCAAAACAAAATGAATACCTGTAACTCTTATGAAGCAAAACAGTGGGCTTGTGCATGAAACTTAGCACTAATTACAACATCATTACCTTTAAAGCTAAGTGCTAAACTCACACATGAGAGAACAAACTCTAAAAACAAATAAAAAAACTTGTCCTTATCGGCAACACAGTTGTTAAGTGTTTGGCACTTTTGCCTAACAGCTAGAAGGTCGCTGGTTTGAGTCTGGCTGGGTCAGTTGGCAATTCTGTGTGGAGTTTGCATGTTCTCCCCGTGTTTGTGTGGGTTTTCTCTGGGTGCTCAGGTTTCCCAAACAGTTCAAAGACATTGGTGAATTGAATTAGCTAAATTGGCCATAGTGTATGATTGTGAATGGGTGTCTATGGAAGTTTCCCCGTACTGGGTTGCAGCTGGAAGGGCATCCGCTGTGTTAAACATATGCTGGATAAGTTGGTCGATCATTCCGCTGTGGTGACTCAAGATGAACAAAGGGTCTAAGCCGAGGAAAAAAATAAATGAATGAACTTGTCCTTAACTTGCATTGCAGTCTTAAGAAATTGTAAACTAACAGCATCAGCTCATGTGTGAATTTGCGCTAAAAATAAAAATCACATTATTTTTTCATCTATCTTACTTTGATTATATACTGCTACCCAGGTAACATGAGAATAACTGTCATATTTCCAAATTCCTCTGTTAGGCCAGCCTTCAAGAGGCTTTGATTGACCAGCTAACATAATGTACTGTGATTGGCGGATTGGCTCTATGTCACTACGCATTGCCCCTTTTGCGCTGTGTAAACAGCCGTATCAGTTTGCCTGAATTGGACAGAAAATGAAGAGCACACAGCTGAACCCAATGCTGGCTCTCAAAAATAAAATCTGACAAGTGTCTTTCACACGTGTTAATAAATAAGCATATGTAAGTAATAAGAAATGTACTTTTGCGAGTTTGTTATTTGAGGTGTAGAATGCAGTGAAAGCATCCGCATAGAGAGACACTGCTGAAGACTGTGGTTGTTTACAGCGATTTGACGGACAAATAAGAATTTGTAGTTAAATTGTTAGCCAAACAACATTTTTAATTGTTTACATCCTTGATTATGTTTTCGCTACAACATACTGTTAACACTAGAAACTGTACATGTAGTAATACTTACAGGTTGTGGCTCATAATCCACAGCTTCGTCGGTTGGATGAGTTAAGTGAATATAAACGTTAATATAAACATATATTTTCTGGAATATAATTAGAATTAAACTGGAAGCACTTCTCTCTTTAAGTTATGTTCTTTGGAATCCCAAATACAGAAACAGAACAAGCTCTGTGGAAATAGCAGCATTTGGACTGCATTTTAGCTTTCTCTGCTATAATATTACAGCGCCTCTGGCCACATCCCTTTACTGCGCGAGGTGTATGAACATGGTGATTGCACTTAGCCTGAAGCGTTTATGAATTTACCAAAGTATGATATCGTAGTGGACCATCCCTTGTCTGTGAAACTGTGTGATAGTATTTAAATAATTTCTCATGGGTCCCGGGAGCATTATTACAGAGGAAATGCAACTGAGAGTCTTGTTTACCTGAAATACGTCTTGATAGAAATCTGTTCCGTTTGTGGATTCCTCCATTCTTAGACATAAACGAATGCAGCTTCAACAATGGAGGATGTGAGCACACCTGCGAGAACACCATGGGAAGCTTTGGGTGCCACTGCCGGACTGGTTATAAGCTGCACTGGAACAAGAAAGACTGTATCGGTAAGATGAGCCTGAGTGACTCTGAATGCTGCCGATGTCGGCTTAGATGAAAATCAGTTTTTCATCCTGGGGAGTGAAAAGCAGGAGATACTTTTGAGTTTCTCAATCTGGCTCTTTTTGTCTTCGCTACTGCTAAACAAACAGAAACCAAATGCTGTCTAACTCGCATCTCAACGTTCGTCTTCTCATCTTGAATGTACTGTTCATTGATGAGCTTTTTTTCTGGAACTATTTCCGTCTAAGCTTCCTCTCAGCATGTGTATGGTGTCTTTATTGTTAAGCATTGTGGTTTTCACACTCAGAGGCAGAGGACTCTCCACTAGTGCCACCTCCTGCCAGGCCCACTCTCAACTGCAATAAGCAGGGAGGAGGCGAGCTCTGCTACCTAACCTGCCAGTCACAGGTCCACATCAGCAGCGGTGAGTGTCACAACATCTACACTATGGGATAAGGATTTTTATTAGGTGGCCTTAACAAATATGCACTTGCATCAAAAAATAAAATTAATGTGTTTCTAATGTATTGCAAACACTTCTGGTGCTGCTGACATTTTGTGCTATATGTGCAGAGAATTGTGTAAAAAAAAAAGCTGTTGATTTTGGAAGAATCATAATTAAAAGCGTAAAATATCGAATAAAAACAATATCTTTTAAACTTTTATTTAATATTTACAATGCAAATCTAATTAGATTCACTTATTTGGTAAACAAAGCAAGTCTCTTATATGATATATCAACTAAAGAACAGAAAATAATACTTTAAAAACGGTATTGTGAATAAATCATAGGAACTTTTTCATATTTGTCAATAATATTACTGAAATTAATTTAAACTGAATAAATATAAATTTAAGTAAATACATAGATGATTGGCTAAAAATCTGTGGATTTCTGCACACACAGTTTCTGTGTGGGCCTAGATATGGGTATGGTTAGGGACAGGTTTGGTGATATGGGTAGGTTTAAGTGTGAATTACAATGTAAGGGATGGTCAACGGCTCAATTATAAATTTAATTACAGATGTAGTTGCATGCAGGTATTTAATCAAACCCAAGAACAATGTAAACACATGTGTTTACACTAAGTACATTGTAAAAAACTATTAATTTCAATGAAAGTATATTAGCATATTTGTTGAGGCCACTTAATATGAAGTGGGACTGGAATTTTTTATTAGCTTTTCCTATTTTTTTTTTTTTAACTTTGCTTTTGATGGCATTAAAGTAAAAAAAAATAACAACATTTAATTGAAATATTATGTTTTTTTATTTGTAAATTTGACCCTGGACCACAAAACCAAAGTCTTATGTTGCACAGGTTTGTTTTTGGCAATAGCCGAAATTTATTTGTTTTGCCAAAAAGATCATGTGCCACGAAAATATTTAGTAAATTTCCTACTATAAATATATTAAAATTAATCTTTGATTAGTAATGGAGCCTTTTCACAGTGTTATGACGCATTTACGATCATCAGCTTCATAAATCATTAAAAGTTTTTAATATTTAGATTTGTTTTTAAACGTATGAACATTTATATGCATTTATGTATTGGATCATCTTTGCTTCAAATTACAAAAAAACGAAGTACCACTTGTGCGAGGCGTTTCTAATGCAGTGTCTGTCGGACAGGACAGAAAATTTTATGTTATTCTCTCCTCTGGCTGCTGTCATCAGTCTCACACTATTTTTTCCTTTTCCTAAAAGTCTTTATAACATTAAACTGGAGTTTTTCTTTTATTATTTGAGCAAATAAGATTGCATTCTCCCATTGACAGCGCTATAAGTTTTCCCAACTATGACAACTTCCGCTACTGAGAAACCTAGAAATGTGAGAAGGGTCTATATGCATTGTAAGCACTTAATTTATACTGCTTTAAGATTAAGGTCATTTTCCTAGTATTTAGATTTTTTTTTAACCCTCGGTTTACAGAGTTTCAAATTATTGTACCTCAGCTAAATGTTATCCTACCTTAACAAAGCGTACATCAATGGAAAACTTTTTATGTATATGTAATGCTTGTTATTGGTTTTGTAGTTCTTTTTTTACTATTAAACAATTTAATGTGTCCAGAATTAATAAAATAAGTGAATATAATTTATTTTCTATACATTTTAATGGTACTTTTGAATGGTACTGTATCATGGTTTTCACATAAATTGAAGCAGCACAAGAGTTTTCAACACTGATAATAATAAAAAAATGTTTCTTTTGCAGCAGATCACTATATAATAATCATTTTTAAAGGATTGATTGTGTGACACTAGAGACTTAAGTAATGACGCTGAAAGGTCAGTTTTAAGAAATAAATGAAAATTTAAACTACATTAATAAAACCTAAAAGCAGTTTTTACAGTGCTTTTGATCAAATAAATGCAGGTCTGGGGAGCAGAATAAGATTTTTTTAAAAACATTAAATATATTGCTGATTTCAAACTTTTTGTGCTTTGAACTGTATGTTTGTTGGGATCTGTCCTTTAGTCTGCATGCTAGAGTTTGCTGGAAATGTATCTAACACCTTTACCTTTATCTGTAGGAGCTGAGGATTCATACACAGTGACCTGTGGCATGCCGCTGCCGTGCCACACAGGAGGACAGTGGAATGGATCATATTGCCCAGGTAAATCTATGTCTGTGTTCTGGGATTTGACCGTTCCAAGGTTGTTGTTTTTTAATCTTCATTCTTTTTAATGTTTAACAGTTAAATTCTGGGTAATTGTGTACCTAAAACTACTAATGTACATATAAGCACTGTTTTAAAATGGCTAAAAATGGCTTGAAATGATTATCTTTAGTCTTCAGCTATAATGCTAAGGTGACCCTGGACAAATTATATCTCCCCATTGTAATACTCACCATCACTCATGGCATGTAGTGCCTTTAATATCTCTTTGGCATCCATACATTTTCTAAAATATTTTATCCATTGTGTCTAAACCTGAAAAAATGACAGCATGAAAATTAAAGGAATTTTATTGGGTAATTTGGTCTGCTTGTGCTTTAGGTTTGAATGCCCAGTTTTCTAAAATATGGTTTTCTGTATATGTTAGTAAAAGTCAATTACATTTAATTCTGCATTTAGACATTTAGCAGGTACTTTTATCCAAAATGACTTACAAATTGGGAAGGTCTCAAGTCATTGGTCACATTAAGTTACACCAATATAAACTTTCTAAGTTTTTTGAGAAACACAAGCTACAATAGGGACGGATTTGAGAAGCAAATTTTTTTTTATAAAAAAAAAACAAAAAAAAAAACATGTTGCAGTTACATGTTCATAAAAGACAGATTTTAGCTGCCTTTTGAACAGTTTTAAACATTTAGATTTTTTATGGATATTTTATGGAAAGTTTGTTTATACATTTGAAAATCGCCTATGGGTGCTTGTAATTCCAATGACAGTTCTAATGTTAAAAGTATTTCTTCCCTAATAGAGTGATTATTATGTAAAAAAAACTTATCCCAAATGAGAAATATGTCACATCTAAAAGTCACAGTGTTTCTTTCTGTTACAGGTTCGGGAATCAAAACCATTGCCACATTTAAATCTGGACAGGGGAAGTGCAATCTAAAGCGGAGTCATGAAAATCTTGCACATAGCTTCAAAACTGCCCTGTCAGGTATGTGTCTTGCATTGAAAATCACCACAGTTTACTACTAAAGTGCCAAATTGTTTGCAAAGGCAGTAAGTTTGAGTCTAAATCCGCCCTGTTGATGAAACACTTTGATGACTACATCAATCACATTACAAAAGCAAATAGGAAATAGCTTGTTTTTATTTTATTTCCTCTCTGAGTCTTTATGGAGATACAAAAAAGAGAGATGGAGAGAGCTGATTACGAACATATTTTGTAATAACATTTTCTCAGCAGATATATTAGAGCTGTGGTGAAAAATGATTCAAGAATCGATTTTGCATTGATTTACAAAATGCATTGTTATTCTCTATATTCTTGCTATTCTTTTCACACAGATTTATGCTTTACAAACAGCCGTACTTATCCAATTGCTTATAAATATCACTTCATTTTAAATAATCATTAAGAAAGTTAAGGAAGATTTAGGCAGATTACAAGAGTGTTCATAGTGGGACTTTCATAGTGAGACTCTTCCTCATCAGACTTTTTGTGTATGGTTAAAAGCTAGCCTAGATTATGATCTGCTGTTACTTAGCTGTTTGGAATACTTAATTCTGATTGGTCAGCTGTGACATTCCAAGGTATATGTAGAGGGTGGGGCGTGCGTGGGTGTTAACTACTGTCACCTGTGCACCACAATGGTCACCAGTCTCATGGAAAAGCTCTGGAAACTTACCAGGAGAGACTGTAGTTGTCCATGTGGAGTTCTGCTGCGACTGTTTATTAAAATTGTTTAATGTTTGCTGGTTCTTCCGATAACTAATATCCATCAACTTAATTACAGTATGTTATTCCAAGATAACAACCGCTGAAACTAATAACACAGGCCCAATTGCGTACTTCGGAGCATCTTGAATACATTCACATTCATATATATATGCTTGTTTTTCTCACTGCTGTTTTTGACGGCTTGGCATCATCTTGTGACTGAATAATATGCAGGGTAGGGTATGCTCCATTTAACCATTTTTGTTTCTGTTAGCATTTGCCTTTTGCTCAGGAAAATGTTTTGTGTATATTTTTTAATAATCTATGGCAAGTAGCCATGTAATAATCAGGATAAAGTACACCCAGCCGGTAGTTTTTGCAGAATAAAGCTTTTCAGCATTATAAAACAGCAATCAGTGGTGGATTTAGGCATGGGCATAATGGGCGATCGCCCAGGGCGGCTTTTAGTTGGGGGCGGCATGGGGAGATGGTGCAAAAAAAATGCCCCATTATCAGCTGTGCCACAGTTAAAGCTTTAAGATACGATTTACTTTATGCAACTGTATTAATTTAGAGTGGTATGAAGACGTTAGGGGCCATTCACATTTGGTGTCTTTTGCACACGTAAGTTTGTTATTCTTTATGTGCAACGGAAACAACGCTGGAAAAAACAAATTGACGCATGCACTCAGAAAACCATTCCAGTGCACCTTACACGCGCAGTGGTTGTTTACATGCACGCCGCTAAAATACATGCCACTCATTCGCTGTGAAACCAGAGTAACAGCCTTTTGTGCAGGTTCTTCGAAGCATCATGACCATCAGTGAATGCATTCACATTTTCTATATGCTTGTCTGTCTCGCTGCTGTTTTTGACGGCTTGGTGCCATCTTGTGTTAATTAAAATTATTGAATGTTCACTGGTTCTCCCGATGACTAAAAGCCATCAATTTAATTACAGTGTGTCATTCCAAGATAACAACCACTGAAACTAATAACACAGGCTCCTTTGGGTACTTCGAAGCATCTTGACCATCAGTGAATACATTCACATTCATATAAATGCTTGTCTGTTTTGCTGATGTTTTTGACAGTTTGGCGCCATCTTGTTACTGAATAACATGTAGGTTAGGGTATACTCAATTCAGCCATTTTTGTTTCTGTCAGCATTTGCCTTTTGCACAGGAAAATGTTTTGTTTATATTTTTGAAAATTTTGTGGCAAGTAGCCATTTAATAAGCGGGATAAAGTACATCCAGCCGGTAGTTTTTGCAGAATAAAGCTTTTCATTATTATACAACAGCAATACATAATACAACTCTTTGCAAAGGGATGCTGATAAGCCTGTCTGACTTTTCTTTGCTGTTAGAACAACCTCCTGAATGTGCTTTATCCCTTAAACTGCTGTTAAAAGCTCAGAGTCAATTCAAGAGAGATTAGTGACATTTTGAAAATCACAAAAAGATTGAAAGATTTTTCCACGCAGCTCTGATATATATTGAAATAAAGGGCTGCATAATTTGCTGAATGTGAGAAAGATGTTTGTGTTAGAATCTAGTCTTCTGGTACTAGATGACCAGCCGTATTTGAAAGAGTTTTTCAATAGAGTCCAAGCAATCAATCACACTGACCTTCCGATCACAGTTTGAAAGAGTCCCACACCCCTTCAGTTGAAATAGTGTTTCCCCCCTCTGTCCTTTCCCTCTTCTGCCTTCTGCCTTTTTTATTGTAGTTCTTTTAAATCCATGAAGTCTTTAATATCTATTTACTCAGATAAAAGAGCCACCGAGAATGTCCAGTTCAGCTTTGTTAGCCTGCACTGTGCCTCTTCAAGCAGACAGCAACGTAGCCGGCACGGGCGGAAGGCTGGCGAGGAGGAAGGCTCCTTCATTACTGCCCAGTTTGAGCTGGATGTGAACCTGGAGGAGGTAACAGGTTGGTTTTGTGTACCGCATGCGTACGTTTCACTATAAACCTTCTCATTTGCTTGCTCGCATCTCACCGTCTTCCCGCTCCTGTCGCTGTGACTAAAACAAGCCAACAGGTGAAAGTATCTCCTGGTTTATGATGGAAGTGGGCATTGTAGACAGCATGAACGTTGTGTGCATTTATTATGATGCTGTTGTGGATGAAATATGGTATCTATTGTTTCTCTCAGCAGAGGGCTGTGACCTGACTTGTGTTCGGCGGCGCTCTGAGAAGCGGCTTAGGAAGACCATCCGTACTCTTCGCAAGTCCATTAACCGAGAGCAGTTTCATCTACACTTTGCTGGATCAGAGTATGAACTGGCTAAGAAACTCGTCCGACCCGCTGACACACCAGATCATTGCGGCACTGGACAAATTCTGCTGGATAAAAAATGTGGTGAGTCCATTGTGAAAATATATGCTTATAGTAGTTAGTGCTGTTGCAACAGGTCTTTCTTTACAAAATTGTTCTTCATTTTAATTAATTGACAGCTGTAGTTTCAAATTTGTTCATCAAGTTCATTAAGAAGAAGATTATTGAAGGGTGCAACATGTAAGTTTGACACCCAATGGTTGAACTAGGTATTGTACTCCTGGTTGAAAACACATGCAGGAGCAGGTTGCCAGATTGACGACATCAACAAGAGTGTGTCTGTCAAGCCTGAAATAAGGCTGAAACCAGGCCTTTCTAAATAAAAGCAATGACATGCGGTAAAAAAAATAGTTTGCCTCATTAAAAGTATTTTTTGTCCTAAAAATCCTGAAATTTCTATTTTAGAAACGGCTTCTATTTTTTACAGGTGAACAACAGGATGAACTATAATTACTTCAGGTACACCTTACGTGCTTTATTCAGTGTTAAATAGTGTGAGTTTGAATGGCATTTTACATGGCATTTATTGCCATACTACTGAAAACAGCAGCAAATAGTTCACCTCAGATCCTGGAAATAAAATATTTCGTTAGAGTGCAGTAAGTGTACTATTCTGTGCTTCTTAATGGCTGTATTTAAATTTTTGTTGTTTTTCTTCAGGTGCAAACAGCCAAATTGTTTATCACTGCAAATCTTGTCATGTAGCCTGTTGTTAATGTTTACGTTTGTAATATTTATATTATTTGCTAATTAATAACCTCCTCATGTGGAACTCTGAATCTGCGTCTCATTTCTTTGGCTTTTACTGTCCACCGGAGGTTGCATTTTCAGTCACGGATGCATACCTTGCAAAGCCTTTCTGACTGAATAAAAAAATGCTGTTTTCCATCAAGGCAACCCAGGGTGCTGAAATATAATTGGCTAAACTGGCATTGGAAACATTCCTTTCAAAATAGTAGTAATGTTTATATCTAAAAATACGAACACTACCGAACACATGATAGATTTGATTGCTCCGGTGACTAGTTTAAAATGATATCGGTGCATTTCTTGGATGGTTATCGACATATAAATAGGTTGTGAACTAAATATTTCACTGAATTGGATTGACTGGACCCTTTGTAGTGTAATTACACTCTGTTTGTTGAAATTTTATAGATCTGTGGACATACAGGAGGCATAAAGTTAGTTTCTTCAGTTTGTTATTGTTTCTGCAGTTTTTGGCAGTTTGACAAAGGCACTAATTGTGTCTGCTGTGTTCATTGTGTCTTCAAATGGTTGGAATAATTTTAATCACAAGATTCTTAATTTTTAAAAGATATATGACAAGTTTAGTCTTTTTGTGGCAAGTGGTTATATTTTGCGATGTTCTGACATGTAACGCAGATGTTCAAAGCAGAATATCTGACTTCAGCACTGTTTTCAGATAAACAAGAATGTTCATTTAGCATTTTTCTTAAATATCTGCAAACATATTACGGGATTTTTATGGGTTAGAAGAGTCAAAAACTTGCATACAGCACTTTTAATTTTACTTAACACATTAAATCTGGTTAAGAAACTTCCCCAAAAGAGATAAACGTTTCAAGTCATTCTTGTGTTAAATGTGAAAAGCATAGACATGGAAAATTAGTTCAAGAAATAAATTCTGAAATTGAATATAAATTGTGGTAAATAACTAATAGTTAAGTCATCAATTATTTCATTCATTTAAATGACTGAATCATTCAACAACAAATTAACTGGCTTTCTATATGAATAGACCATTCAATCTTTGGTTTAACTGATTCCTTCAAAATGCAGATTCATTCAGAAAAGAAACATTGTGGTAAATGCGCTAAAACTTTAAAAGTCCCACTACTAATTAATTAAATTAACATGTTAAATCAACATGATTAAAAATGGTTTTGCTGCCATTGCAAAATTAGTACAGAGAACTACTGACATTTTGGCACACTGTATTATATTTACTTAGCATATTAGCAGTTTAGGTCACTGATTACGTCTAGCTGAAATGAATCGGCAGTATTTCAAATTATAGAGTATTTCGGATAGTAAAATAGTAGAGATTTGGTAGTAATGCAGGCCAGGTAACTGACAAATATGAGGTGTTTTATATAGTATAATATGTATTGTGTGAGAGAGTTGGCATGAGCGAGACTGGGAAGCATAAAGCTGATGTTGGCTCTTACAGCTGAATGCTGTTCCAGCACTGAGTGACAGACGTGCTTCAGATCAACTCGGCACAGTAAATGTTCATTGACTTTCTTCAGGCTCTAGAATAAACATCTCAATGGGTCTGCATGTGAGGAATAGCCAACTCTTTGTCTGGAGGACTCATTGTGTTTAACATTATCCCATTGACTTCATTGTCTTTGACATAAGGCCCTGTCTTTTTAAGGGGACTGTATTGCTGAGGTTGTTTGTTATCTTTTATTGTAGAAAAGTCCATTATCTTTTACAGGCTCGGTTTCAGCGGTAATACAGACAGCTAGAGGCTCTTAGCTTTTCAAGGGTGTCACTTGCTGTAAAGTGTTCTTTGTTAGAGTCTATGAGTAAAATGTTATAGCTCTGAGATCGCACTTTCATAGCTCCAGAGACTTAATAGACTCATAACTCTGGTGTGTTTTGTCCAAGTATCATTTATTTCTGGGATGTTTCAACTTTAGTTTAATCTTGGAAGAATATTTAGAGATTCAAGTTCATATTGAAATGTCAGACTTCAGATTGCTGCTTGAGATTTGAGATTTGGTGAGATTTTGGAAGAAAGTAAAAGTTCAGATTCTGAAAGGATGCATTCATGTGACAAAATGTCACAGTAAGACAAGTTGTTTTTTATATTGTAAAGTATTATGAACAACTTTTAGTATTGCTGTAATGTTTTAAGGATCTAATTGGCATAATAGAATTATCAGGTGACATAAAAGACTGGAGTAAATAAGGAAATTTTTATATTTTAAATCAGATGTCTGTTTTGTGTTTGTGATCAAATAAATGCTTCCTTTTTTTCAAAAATGTTCAAAAGTCTGTGTAGATTAGTTGTCTACAAACATATTGTCGCTACATGTGTCTATTTTGAAGTGGATTTTGGAGTTTGCATTGGTTCAATCTGTTGTTTCCTCAGGGGGATTTTGAGTGTTTGTTCCACTTTAACTGGAGTGGTTTAGTTCTCCAATGGAGAAAGATTATGGAGGGGAGTGAAGAGAGAAAATTGGTGACCGCTGACCCGCTCCTTCCTCATTGTTTTACAGATCCCGCAAGTCCCACAAGTCCAACTTAAAGCAATAAAAACCTCTTACCCAAGTTGGGTTGCAGTGTTTTACAGATACAGGCTATATGTTTACATCTCATTTAACATGCTCCGAAAAACATGCCAAGTGAAATGTGCACACTCGCCAATAAGTAATTAATTGAATCCATGCTGAATATGGGATTGTTAGTATTGCTATTTTCAAAAGCAGACGGACAATTAAGGTACACAGACGTGCAGTGTCCAAGTGCCAGCTCTGAAAAGAGCTATATTTTTTTCCTACCTTTTTTTTTGGCCTCCCCCACTGGCTCGCTTCACTAAGTGCAGTTTAGTCTTTTCAGTTTGCCCACTCCATTGTAAATCCCAGTGGGGCTTGTTCAGGCTCCTGGAGTGATTGGGGAAAATCTGTGCTTCGACACTTCTTCCCAGATTTACAAAACTGCATTTTCTTTCTCAAGTGTGATTATGAAAGATATTCTACCTAATTAAAGGCATAGCTCACCTAGTAATTAAAATTCTGTCATCATTTACTTACTCTGATGTTGTTCCAAAACTGTATGACAGAATGTCTGTGGAACATGGTGAAGTTTTAAATATCCCAATGATTTTTCCTTCATTGTTTTTGTGAAACCCAATGACTTTCAGTGAATGAACAAGAACATTCTTCTTTCCACAGAAGACAGAATGCCGTATAGGTTTTTGGAACAAAATAATAATTGAATGTTTATCTAGGGGTTAATTTATTTAAAGGCTCTCTGGACCCCAGAATTATAATTTTGTTATTTGTTCATAGTCATGTTGTTCTAATTGTGTTTATAGTTGAAACAAAAAAAGGAAAAACAAGTAATGAAATCTGAAAAAGTTCTATTTTTCCAATAAAAATGTTAATCCAAAATTTAGACATTTTAAAACATTCATAGAGAGATTAAAAAAATATGAATTTGATCTTTTATAAGATGAATTGATTTAATTTAGACTTGACATATATTCACTGATAAATGCTAAAGCAAAACGTGTATTACCATATTCAGCTTATGCTTGCTTGATGTGTGCTGACTAATGAGCATTGGTCAGCACCATTTCTGCATGTCAACCAGGAGCTTCTGTTTACACTCACTCATCAGTGTTTATATGTTCAGCATACTGTATGCGCAATCACCACAAGGATTTATTTAGAACTTTTTTATGATTTATGACTTCAACGGAGTGGCAGAATTTGCTCAGATTTGATTAAAAATATAATCATATAAGTGACAAAGATGAACAAAAGATTGACAGGTTTGGAACAACACGAGGGGAATAAACGGTGACAGAATTGTCATTTTGAGATAAACTAAACTTTGAAAGCTAGAACTTCATTGACATTTGTACATTGTAATCCATTCATTAAGTGTTACCAAAACACACAATGAAGAACTCTAAATGAACATCAAAGAGCTTGCATAATTTCAGCCCTCTCAGCTGCCGCTTTGCTCTCCTGTCCATAAATGTGCTAAGTTATTGTTTGCTTGTTTGTTTTTTTAGGGGGGTTGGTTCAGAGTGCTGTTTATTCAAGCAAACAGTTTAAGTGCCAAATTCCTCCTTAGGAAGGGCCACTCTGTGTGACCCCAGCCAGTGAGCAGCTCAAGAGAATTGACTTCAGCGACACCATGGGAATCAATTAGCATCAGCTGTTTGGGCCCCTGCCTGATAGGCGCAAGGAGCGATTGGACTCCACCGAATGGGGGGATTCACAATCCTGACCCCTTTTATTGGGTTCAGCTCCTTACCACTGTGATACCATGGTGTTTGCCTATGTCATCAAATAGGCAAAAGCCGGGGGACTTGAATAGAGGTGAAAGGTCCTTTAAACCTCTTTGGGACCATCAATTTCAGGATTCAATAGAATCGTCGCTTTGCATTTGAAAGGCTTCAAGGTTTTTTTTTTTCTCGCTCTCTTTTTTCAATCTTTCACTCTTTTCCTTTCCTCTCTCTTACTCCGTCGCTCTGTCAAATAAAAGCCGGCCCGGACAATGTGACGGTGGCTCCTCATGGTCATTCAGGATTAACAAAAGAGAGGAAAAAAATGAACTGCTCTTGAGAGAATTACATTTTCTTCTTCTTCTTCTTTTGGAAAATCGGGCAATTTGCTGAGGCACACATAATTGCCATGCTGTTTAAGCCTTTGTGGAATTAGCCGTCATTACCATAAAATCTCGGGAATAAGAGGTTTGTCTAAATTCTCCCGAACACTGTCAGTTGGATGTTTGCACAGAGACACTGAGATGAAAGGAACATTTCTAAATTGCCATGCTTACTGGGTTAAAGGACTGAATCGTACGGGCGAGTGGCTTATTTTAAGGCCGAGTGTGTGCAAACACTTTTGAAAGCGTGGCTATAAATCAGAGCGGTTTATAAAGCGAACATTAAAAAGACTTTGTTCCGCTCCCTTTAATCAGACATCATAGGTTTGTGCGAGGTAATATTCCCTTTGAGCGTGTTCGGTAAGGTGAGGGATTGTGTATGTGTGTGAGGGCTGTTTGATGTGGGGTTCAGGCAGCTGTGGAAAGGCTCAGTTCTCTTATTTGTTTGAATTTTTGGCATAGCTACATCAGGTCGATTTGCAGAGCCCCCTTTAGCAGCTTAATGTGAGGCCCTTCTTTGTGTTCCAACTTCAGACTCCGTTTCATCTCATTTTGAGTTTTCTCTGTGCTAGTCAAATGCAGCGTTGGCACATACTACGATGGAGAGCAGGGGAGGTGCTTTCTTTGCCCCCCTGGGACATACCAAGATGAAGAGGGGCAGGTGTCGTGTGACGTGTGCCCAGGACCCGAGGGCAGGGGAATCCCGAGAACCGCAGGAGCACGCAACATCTCAGAGTGTGCAGGTGAGACTTCACAAAGACGCATGTGATCGTGAATGAACAAGCCTGCAGCTTTTCTATTATCTGATTTCTTTTGAGTTTGGCGTCTGTCAGCATATATATATATATATATATATATATATATATATATATATATATATATATATATATATATATATATGAAGTCAGAATTATTAGCCCCCCTGCTTAATTCTTTTCCTAATTTCTATTTAACGGAGAGAAGATTTCTTCAACACATTTCTAAATATAATAGTTTTAATAACTCATTTCTAATAACTGATTTATTTTATCTTTGCCATGATGACAGTAAATAATATTTGACTAGATATATTTCAAGACACTTTTATACAGCTTAAAGTGACATTTAAAGGCTTTACTAGGTTAATTAGGTTAACTAGGCAGGTTAGGGTAATTAGGCAAGTTATTGTATAATGATAGTTTTGTTCTGTAGACAGTCAAAAAATATATAGCTTAAAGGGGCTAATAATTTTGACCTTAAAATGGTGTTTAAAAAATTTAAAACTGCTTTTATTCTAGTTGTTATCTAAAACAAAACAAATAAGACTTTCTCCAGAAAAAAAAAAAAATTATCAGACATACTGTGAAAATTTCCTTGCTCTGTTAAACATTGTTTGGGAAATACTTAAAATATATATATATATATATATATATATATATATATATATTGCTTTTAATCAGTATTATAGTTTACCTAAACTTATTAATCAGGCCATTAAAGATGTTGATTACTTATTCTTAGCTCAAATTGTGGTGATTGTATATAATCCAATTCAAAATTCATTTAAAAAAAGATTTTTCTTACTGCTCGTTTAAACTCTTTATTTAAAATGAGCTTAATCAACACAATTCTTGAGTTTTTTTGTGACAACTTAGGTGTTTTATGTTCCATTCAGTTAAATTTGTAAAAAATTAAGTTAGCTTAATACGACAGCATGAAGGAATTGCGGGGAGCTCATTTTTCACAGTGTTAAACAGCTTTTTAAGGGTCAAGAAAACATGTAGGCAAAATAAAACAAACACCTGTGGCTTCTAAAGGATACAAGTCTTATGAAGCAAAGAGATCAGTATTTGGAAGAAACTGAATATTATTCACAATATTATTACCTTTAATGCACAGCCTTAACTGGTCTTAGGGTGCACTCAAACTATGCTATCCAAACCATCACCAGGCACATTGCTGGTTCGTTTGACAAGCGTGAGTGCTCCAAATCAAGCCCAGGCGTGGTTCAGTTGGCTGGCCCTGGCCCAATTGAAAGAGGTGTGCTAAAGCACAGTTCAGTTGGACTTTAGTGTAGTACGCTTGTAGTGTGAGTGCAAAGCATGCCTGAGCCTGAAACTAAAGACGTGACATCACTAATAAGGAACTGTTTCATATGGATTTATTAATCATACTTACTGTTCAATGAACACAAACTGTCTTAGTTTATTAAAAACGCAAACCCCTCGCTGCATCTTCAGTAAACCTTCTAATACCTGCAGCTTGAGGACTTTTATGATAATTAATGAGTGTCAAAAGTTGTGGATCTGTTCTGCAAAATATTTGACTGGGTGTTACAAAGCAATGTCAACTGTGCTAAGTGAGAGTGTTTCTCTTCTTGTTAAACTGAACAGTCGCATCATCGATTACGTAAGCTTGTTCCAGGTTGGAAGGTCAAGATGCAGTGTGAGTCCAGGCCGTCGGGGGATAGGGGAGGGGGGACAATCGTGCTTCGGCAAGGTTCAGAGGCAACTGTACTGAGTGTGAGTACACCCTTGAAAGGACAGTTCACCTAAATTGAAACTTCAGTCATCTTTTACTCATCCTCCACCTGTCTAAATTTCTATCTTCCATTGAACACAATAAGAGATATACTGAATAATGGTGGAGGAAAGAACAGCCATTGACTTCCATTGTATTTTTGGTTCCTTCCAGCTATGGCTGTCAATGGCTGCTATTTTTACCAGCGTTCTTCAGAATATTGCTTGTTGCATTCAGCAGAAGAAAAAAAATGAATGAAAGTTTAGAACCACCTAAGTAAATGGTGAGGAAATTTTCATTTTATATGAACTATTTCTTTAATAGTGCTGTCATAGCCAAAGCCATATCACCCTGCAGTCCAAGAGCAGTTACTCACTGAAGCCAAGCAGGGCTGAGCCTGCTCAGTACCTGAATGGGAGACCACATGAAAAAACTAGGTTGCTGTTGCAAGTGGTGTTAGTGAGGCCAGCAGGGGGTGCTCAACCTGATGTCTTTCGGATGAGACGTTAAAGCAAGATCCTGACTTTCTGTGGTCATTAATAATCCCATTGTACATAAAGTGCCAAAAAATAGGGGTGTAACCTCAGTGTCCTGTCCAAATTTCCTCCATCAGCTCTTACCTATCATGGCCCCCCAATTATCCCCATCCACAGAATTGGCTTTATCACTGACTTTCCATTGCACCAATAGCTAGTGTGTGGTGAGCGCACTGGCGCTGTTGTCCTGTGGCATTGTCCTGTGGCATTGTCCTGTGTTTTCCAAGTGGATGCTGCACACTGGTGGGGGTGTGGAGAGACCCTTCTCAATATTGTGAAGCACTTTGGGTGTATGGCCATACACAATAAATGCGCTATATAAATACACATTACATTACATTACATTATTACAGTCTGCATTGTAAGTGCAGTGGTGTTAACTGATGTATATTGAACATTGGGCAAATTCCATAGACTGCAGCATGGAAGCTGAGCACAGAGCTGGTCATAATTGTAAATTTATTTGGAAATTGAGATTTCTACATCATCTGAAAGCTTAATTATGCTTTTTTTCACATATGTAAAGAAAAGTCTGTTTGTTGAGGTCCATTAAATAACTCGAACAGATCCACTTTTTAATTTTAATGTTGTATTAGTGCGCGTTGAAAAAAACTAAGAAATAATAAATGCTTTAAAGGTGTTTTCCATTATTAGTTCATGTTAACTTGAGTTATGCTAACAAATGTAACCTGAATGTTGTATTGCTGACATTTTCTTATTTAAAGAAAAAAATTTACATGTATTGTTATAAAAAGTATTACAGACAAAATGTTTATACTGGATTTTTTAAATATATCTTTTAAATATGTATTATAATATTGTAATATCACTACCTACATCACAAAACCTATATCAATATATATATATATATATATATATATATATATATATATATTTATATATATATATACACGTACAAAAACAGTATTATATATTTTTTTCATTATAAATTTATTTTTTGTACGTGTATATATATACACGTACAAAAACAATATTATATATATTTTTAATATCATTATAAATTTATATATATATATATATATATATATATATATATATATATATATATATATATATATATATATATATATATATATATATATATATATATATATATGTACAAAAACAATATTATATATATTTTTAATATCATTATACATTTATATATATATATATATATATATATATATATATATATATATATATATATATATATATATATATATATATATATATATATATATGAATTTATAATGATATTAAAAATATGTATATACTATTGTTTTTGTTTTTAAAAGACATACCACTTTTCATTTTATCAATTTATCTTTAGAGATGTCCTCCTGCATTTTTACAAACATTGTGAGGCTGAAAAAGGAGAGTATGATGAATCACATCCTGTTGTTTTGTTTATGCAGTTGGCAGGAAGCATACCTGCGCTGATAATAATCTGAGACTCATGGCTTGTTGAGCTCGAGTTGAGTTTTGGAGTGTGTTGGGAGGGGTCGTTTCACGCAGTCCTGCAAATCCTCAAATGTCTGATTCATTCACACCAACAAAGAATCCCAGATTAGTCTTGTGTTTAAAGAAAAAAAGGGCACCTCTATGCTTCTGTTTCTCAAACACAGTCATCACAGGCAGCTTACGGCACAGATGTCATCTTCTGCTTTTTTGCTGATAGACACAACAGAAAAGGCTATTAGGGACTGTCTCAGTGGCAGCCAATTCATTGTGTTCACCGGAGGCCTGCGCTTTCTTAGATAATGAACTTGCATGACCTCATTTGTGGTTTGCTTTCTTTGGAAGGCAATAAAAGGCTCAACTTGGTTTGTCTGGCATGCATTGTCTTAACATTTTTCTGATCCTAGGTCAGTGTCGTCCCGGTCAGTTCTCCCATGATGGTTTTGTGCCCTGTCTGCCCTGCCCACAAGGCACCTACCAGCCTGAGGTCGGCCGCACATCCTGTTTCACATGCGGAGGAAGCCTCACAACCAAATATGATGGTTCGGTGTCTTTCCAGAACTGTGAGACTAAAGGTGAGTGGAAGAATAACATCTTCAAGATTTTGAATTATACTACCTGACATTCATCGTTCATTCATTCTCCTTCGGCTTAGTCCCTTTATTTATCAGGGGTCAACACAGGGGAATGAACCGTCAACTTATCCAGCATATGTTTTATGCAGCAAATGCCTATCCAGCTGCAACCCAGCAATGGGAAACACCCATACACACTCACATTCACACACATACACTATGGCCAATTTAGCTTACCCAATTCACCTATAGCGCATGTCTTTGGATTGTGGGGGAAACTGGAGCACCCGGAGGAAACCCATGCGAACATGGGGAGAACATGCAAACTTCACACAGAAATGCCAACTGACCCAGCCGGGGCTCGAACCAGCAACCTTCTTGCTATTAGGCGACAGTACAATCTACTGAGCCACCGCGCCACCACTACCTGACATTTTGGTGGCAATTTTTCCATCAATATTTTTGAAAGAACTCTCTGAAGCCATTGTGTTTTTTAATGAGTACATAAGTATAGTTGCTCAGATAGATGCATAGTGTTTCAAAGTATATTTCATTTGGCTCAAACACACACATAAGAATTCATTGTATGTGCATTGACACCTTTTAATACCTCCTCTGGCCTACAGGGGTCACTAAATACTAATATTATGCAAAAAATATATACTTATTCTCAAAGCCATGGGCTAAGTCCAAAATCGCATACTACTCGAGTAGGTGCTTTACGATCATTAGAAAATACATTCTTTATAGTTTGAGTGTAGTATGAATGGTTTTTGGACGTACTGCATCCACATTTGTCACTATAGCTTGAACTACCTGTGACCGGTGTCTCTTTACTCCCATTCATGAATTCTCTCACGTAGCATTATAGGATATTGTAGCATTCATCTGAAGTACACTTCTAATTTTTGCCAGAAGTAGTTGGTCATCCGGGTACTTCTTGCATACTGTTTTTCAATTACTATGGCTGCATCCGAAACTGCATACTTATTTTTTTTTTTATTTGTTTATTAAACTTTTCAGATATAACAAAGTATTTTTACACAGAAATTTATTATTCCCACCCCTACCCTCTACATAACATAAGTTGAAATTACATTTATCATTTAAAGAAAGAAGAAAAAAAAATACTCATGATAATAACAAAATAATAATTAAATAAATAAATACAATTAAGTAAATAAAATGAATAAACTATAAAAAATTTAATTAAATAAATAACTCAAAATTATAAAAAAATGAGTCCTTGGATATTTATAAAGTACCTAATCATGTGACATGCTCAGAAAAAAAAGTCTAAATAGGTCCCATGTTTCAGAAAAGGCCCTAGTATTGCCATTTATTGTAAACCTAATTTTTTTCAAGTGGATGAAGCTCATTGCATCTCACAACCAGTTGTCAAAACTCGGAGGAAATCTTTGTTTCCATAAAAACAGAATAAAACGTCTTGCTAACAGTGTCAAAAATGCAAGGGCGTTTGCAGTACAGCTTGATAACCCTACTATATTCTGGGAAAGTCCAAAAAGTGCAATAAGAGGGCATGGTTTGATGTGTATTATTGTCACAGAAGAGGAACAATTGAAAATTGATAGCCAAAAAGGAGTGATTGATGGGCACAGCTAAAACATATGTATTAAGTCTGCAAGTGCTTGATTACAGCGATCACATATAGGATCCACGTCTTGCGTTATTTTTGCCAATCTCACTTTTGTCCAGTATATACAATGAACAAATTTTAATTGGATGAGGCTATGTCGTGCGCAGATAGAGGAGGTATGAATGCGGGACAGAATCTGGTCCCACGTATCATCCTCAAATGTAAGATTGAGGTCTGACTCCCATTGTTGTTTAATACAGAAAAGAGAGGTAGTAGAAAAAGAGGAGATCAGCCTGTATAAAGTAGACAGTATACCTTTTTTATCTAAGGGTACTTCAAAAATTTGGTCAAGTTGAGATTTTGGTGGAAGGTTCGGAAAATCTGGATTTTTTCGGAAGATCTGGAGTTTTTAACAAAGTTTCTAATTTGTAAGTATCTGAAGAAATGAGTGCTAGGAAGAGAAAATTTTTGTATTAATTGTGAAAACCTGGGAAAATTTTTTATCAATATTGAAACTGCATACTTCTTTACTATATAGTACACTAAAATCAGTATGTGAGCAGAGTAGTATGTCCGAACTCATGGAATTCGAAAATCAGTATGTAAGAAATATGACCTACAACTTCCAGTGAGATTCTTAGGTGCGCATCCAATGCACGCTGTGCTATACGATGAAGCCTCACGAGAGAATTCATGAATGGGAGTGAAGCGATGCAACTGAATGGGCTCATTAGGGATCTCCTTCATCTCTTGGGGGCTTCGAATAAGCCACAAGAGCTCTTTAGAAGTTTCTTTACTGTTCTCAAAGCTTTGCCAGACGCAACTGCGGGTAGGTCATGTAACCATGACAAAATGGTAGATGTAGTACATCAGAATTCTCATACTGCTCACATTCATACTGTATAGAACAGACTTTTCTAATGGTCGAGTTGTACGTTTAAATTCAAATGCAGTGCCTACTGAGTTGTAGGTGGTTTCGTATGCGGTCTATGAATTTAGACATACTACTTGGTTCGCATACTGTTTTTCACATACTATAAAGTAGGGAAGTATGTGATTTTGGATGCAGTCATTGTTTACTTATTATTTGGGTCAAAATGATTCAAAACATTTTAAATAGGGATTTTTAACTTGTCTTTATTGTCACTTTTTATTAATGTCTCTGCAGATTTTTTAACAAGAAATTCCCAAAACCTTTGAAGTGTATAGTAGTGTATAATAAGCTTGGTGTATTAGTTCGTGCTACAAATGTTGTGTTTGTCAAAACACAGATTTTGATGCTTGGACACTGTAGCCCTACTGCACTTTCATTTAGTGTTTTTTAATAGAAACATTTAGTTCTGTTTGACAGGAGACACTATAATTCTAAGTGAAGGTGTTTGTTCTAGTGCATACGGTATGAGTTTCAGAAACGTCCTTTTCCATATGACGAGAGTAAAGAGAAATGATGGACAAAACCAAAGCTGGAGGCATTTAGGGCATCTTGAACATCATGAAAATGATCTTGTTTTGCTGTTCTGCATACAGAGAATACATCAAAGTGAAAGCAAAAAGCAAGCATAATTCAGAAACCTCAAGTTCAACATCTAACATATTAATAAGGGCTCCCTGTTGACCAATGTTGTTACAAGTTGACAAAATTTCTTGACAGTCTCGATACACAGTATTGAAGTTTAGTGTCCAAAAAAACGTAATAAACTGATTGAAGCTGGTTTCTCAACCAAGTCTGATTGTTTGTATTGTTTTAGGGTGTTTTTTTTAACAGCTTATGCTTTGGAATATTCTTTGCAAATGTAATGCGAAATGTTTGCAAATTATATAGTGTTTAATACACAGTTTCACAGAAATGCTGAGTTTGGAATCATGCTTTCCTTACAGTTCAGTGCTCCCCTGGGCATTACTACAATACCAGCACCCATCGTTGTATCCGTTGCCCAGTTGGAACTTATCAGATGGAGTTTGGCCAAAACTACTGCATTGCCTGTCCTGGAAACACTACCACTGATTTTGATGGATCCACAAACATAATGCAGTGCAAAAGTAAGCAAACCATTTGGTTTCAGTAACCCTTAATGCTGTTGGTCCTTCAGACCTTGTTTACACCTGGTAAAAAGGTGTGTTTTTGTTGATACAGATCATGTGGACAGTTATAAATTCATCTGTAAACACAAACAGGGTCTAAAACATTTGGAGCTTGTCCAGGTTTGTCAGTTTGAATTTTTATTGCCGTGTAGATGCTCACAAAACTTCACATACTCTCTTCCTACTGACTTTTCTTAAGGGTGAAGTTGTGTTAAAGGATTTAAACTACTCAGAAATCATTTAAAGAGAGAGTTCACCCAAAATTAAAAACAACCTCACCATTAACCCTCCCTCATGTGGATTTAAACCGTTATTTCTACTGAGGTTATTTTGAAAAATCATAGTTGATAGTACCATCATAATTTTTTTCCTACTATGAAAGTCAATAGGGTACCATCAATCAGCATTCTTTGAAATATCTTCCTCTGTGTTTAAAAAAGAATGAAACTCACATATGGTTTGAACAAGTGAAGAGTTAGTAAATAATGACAGAGATTTAATTTGTGGGTGAACAATTTTGCCAGTTGAAATCATAAGTTTGGTTTGAAAGCTCTGATTAAACAAAATACTTAATATCAAGTGTAAACAAGGCTGTACATTACATTAAATTAATCTGTAATTATTGTAGCGTTAACTAGAAGTATTAACAAAAGATATATTAGAGATATTAATTGCTTTATATCTATATTAGTATTATTTTGATGCTCCTTCAACTACCAGTAACTTTACAAGTTCATGTCAGCTTTTTAAATGAACCCTAACAGTTTCTGAAATATTCTACTAAAACTAAGAGACTTAGACAATATATAGTTTAAAGGTTTCTTGTATAGCAAACAGGAGACCCTCATAGTAACTTGAAACCTCAGTTTGCTAGAAATAAAAAACAAAAAACCATGAGAGATGGGCTATTTGTTCAAAAAGACCTTTAGTTCTTTCTCTAGTCTAAGTGATTTAATTTATTCCTGCCAGACAGACACTGTGGAGGAGAGCTGGGAGAATTCACTGGCTACATCGAATCCCCTAACTACCCTGGCAACTACCCTGCCAACATCGAGTGCACCTGGACCATCACCCCCCCACCCAAACGCAGGATCCTAGTGGTGGTGCCTGAGATCTACCTGCCCATTGAGGACGAGTGCGGGGACTATTTAGTGATGCGGAAGAGCTGTGAGTATTACAGGGCTGTGGTGTGGCTGTTGAATGCATGAGCTCAGCAGGGTGATTGTGAATACACATGTGAGGAAACGGGGGGGAGGATCCACACTGATGGGCTCATTAGGGATCTCCTTCATCTCTTGGGGGCTTCGAATAAGCCACTCAAGAGCTCTTTAGAAGTTTCTTTACTGTTCCCACAGCTCTGCCCAATTCAGTGACGACTTACGAGACGTGCCAGACGTACGAGCGGCCCATCGCCTTCACCTCCCGCTCCAAGAAACTCTGGATCCAGTTCCGCTCCAATGAAGGAAACAGTGGAAAAGGCTTTCAAGTGCCTTACGTGACGTATGACGGTGAGAAATTGATTGCTTGTGTGTTTTTATTGTATGGTAAGTAGTCTGAGGATTTATTGGATATATAATATGATTCTTTTAGAGGACTACCAGGAGCTCATTGAGGACATAGTTAGGGATGGAAGATTATACGCCTCTGAGAATCATCAGGAAATTCTTAAGGTATAGTGATGAGCAACTTCAAATCTTAAACAAGTCTTGTTATTGCTTGATTTTAAAGGGGTGGTTGACCCAAAATCATTATTACTATCAAGTGTTTCCAGATAATTATGTTTATTTCTTCTGTTTAACAGAAAAAATGATATTCTAAAGAAACTGAAAACCTGTAACCATTGACTTGCATACACTGTAAAACCCCAAAAGTTAAGGTAACTCAAACCATTTGAAGAAACCGATTGCAGCAAACCATTTAAGTTCAAAAATGAATCCTTATGGGTACGGTGAACTTACTCCATTTGAGTAAACACAGCAATTTGAGTACTGTAAAACCCAATAAGTTAATGCGACTCAAACCGTTTGAGAAGCTGATTGCTACAAACCATTTGAGTGGGAAAAAAAAGAATCTCTACAAGTACTGTTAAATTAATCCATTTGAGTTGTTGTGTAGGTATTTGATTAACTCATTGCCTTCAAAACTCTTTTCAAATGAGTAGAATTACTTTCAGTAAATTGAGTTTACATTTCTCAAAAGGCTTTCTTTTTTAACAGATGAGAAAAACTCTTAAAGATTTAAAAAGGGTTGAGTAAACGATTACAGAATTAAATTTTTGGGTGAACTATCCCTTTAAATAGCTCACTTAAAGCAAGAAATAATTTCTAGAAATGTGCCTTTGCAGTAAAAAAGGCAATAGTGCCCCCTTGTGGACGATGTAAATATATGCTTGGCTGAAAGTTAATTCATGTTCTTTTCATGAACCTTTTTTAGGACAAAAAGCTAATGAGGGCCCTGTTTGATGTTCTGGCTCACCCACAGAATTTCTTCAACTACACGGCACAAGAGTCCAGAGAAATGTTTCCCAAATCTTTTATCAGATTCCTCCGCTCCAAAGTTCTAAGATTCCTGCGCCCCTGAATTTTGTCAAATAATCTTTTATGGAATGGGTATTTGGCTCTCCAGCTAAATTTTAAATGACTGGAACAGATATTGTTGAGCGTTCTTGTCTGCATACTCGCAGATTCAAGACAACTTCTGGGACCTGACGAGATGAGAAACTGTCCTGAATTTATGTCATTGGAACTTTTTCTTCTGGAGAAAATGAACTGTTTTTTTTACAGTGAATGATTGCTGACCTTCTAAAAAGAACAGCCACCTTTAAAGAAAAAGATTCTTCTTGTTTCATTCATTTATTGGCCAGAAGTGACTGAGTATCAAAAACATGCTAATTACAGCTGGAAAAAAAGAGCAACTACATTGCTTGTTATATATATATATATATATATTATTGGTCACTTCATAAAAATGTGTGAAAAGTATGTTGACCTAATTATTATAAAACTTCACAGCACTACTGAGGACGTAGTGGAAGTTAAAGCAGTTAAAGTCATTTTGGCAAGTTTGAATGTGTTGTACATTGTGTAAAAAAAGTTAGCATAAGCTCTCATGTTACTATTTTGTGTTGCTTTTTACTATATTGTAGCCTTTTTATACATGACATATGTGTATTATATTCAGTAATACTGGTTAGAGATTATGGTCATTTGATATATCGGTTATCATTTACTTATCATTCACTTTGTCCATTCCCCAAACATTTTTTATTATTAAGAGGCTCTTGATGTAGGATTGTTTACCCATTATTGACATGCAGAGTAAATTAAATGTTTATATTTTTATGGCTGTACATCTAACATGTAAATAAAGAAATACAATTGAATGTGCTTTTGTTGTATTGGAAGCAATGCAGAAGTAGCATAAAATAGATCATGGGGGTAATCTTGGTTTAATATTCACACATTTGGACTTTATCCTTAACAATTTCATAAAAGTATTTTAGCAAATTCTAAATAGTGAAACCATAAGCAGCCAATGACGATCAAAGAACAACATTGTTCACAGTCAATTAATTAGAGTTAATGTTGTTTTAAAGACACGTACGTGCTAAAAAACAGCTTTTGGGTGGTTTTAGCTGGTCAACCAACCTGCTTTTTTCTTAGCTGGTCAGACTGGGAGATGACCAGCTTACACCAGCATGACCAGCCTGGTTTAAGCTGGACATAGCTGGTTTTGGCTGGGCTCCCAGCCTGGCTAGGCTAGTCAAGCTGGTTTTAGCTGGTCATCTCGCAGCCTGACCAGCTAAGACCAGGCTGGAAATGGCCAAAACCCCTCTAAAATCAGGCTAGTCGACCAGCTAAAACCAGACAACCAGCCTAGGCTGTTGTATTAGCTTTTTTTTTTTCAGCAGACCAAATATTCAAAGTATAAATAAAAACAACTTTACCTCAATAATAGATCCATTAGGTACAGAACATGTTCATTTGTAAGTCGCTTTGGTCATTTGTAAGTCACTTTGGATAAAAGCGTCTGCTAAATGACTAAATGAAAATGTAAATGTAAAACACAAACTATTACTTTAAACAAAAATGATATTTGTATACACACACAAACACACACAATTATACTTATATACAGAGATGTATAGTAACGAAGTAGAACTACTTCACTACTGTACTTAAGTACTAAAAGGCAGTATCTGTACTTTACTGGAGTATTATTTTTTTCTCCTACTTCCACTTTTACTTAAGTACATATTTTCCATGAGTTTAATACTTTTACTCCGATAGATTTTTTATGTGCTGCATCGTTACTCGTTACTAGGGGTGTCAAAATGATCGATATCAGTTCAGTAATAGGTCATAACCGGTGATTACGTGATGACGTCATTTATCTCCTATGCGCGATGTCGCAATACTATTGCGGAGGACGGAGGCGCGAGTGAAGGCGGCACACGAGCCGCTAATTTACTATTAGGGAGAAATGTTGTAAAACTTCACCTCTGCCTCTCTCTTTCTCACTTTGGACATTTGACCCGCTGGCCTGTTTGTAAGGTAACTTTCCCTCTTTTCTTAGCTGTTAAAGCTGTCGATCCATCCAGACACGAGCGTGCCTGATGTTCAAGTTTTCTCCACTGTGTCTATTACCTGTGATAACCGCGTATTCTTCCCGCCATGGGTGAACAGCGCTTCTTTTCTAAAGCCCTTTCTGTTGAGCAGATGAAGATAATAACCAATCATCATAAGACCTCGCCTGTCAGCGCTCAAAAAGCAGGCGGTATAATATTGACATGAGTTTATTAGCTGTAAATGCTCATGCTGTCTTCTGTGCATGAGTTTTGTTTGATACATTCAGAAAGAGTGCTTTCTTTAAGCAGGTCAAATTAAGAGTACAGTTCATATATGTGACTGCTGTATTAAAGAACAAAATTGTATTAAAAATAACCCTATAACTGTCACACCAGGACAAAAGCAATATATTTATGCAATATAAAAGCAATAAGTGCAAGACCAATTTAATTAAAAACATAATCAAAATTAAAAAAAATAATACTAAACCATAGCCATAAGCCATAAAGTATTTTAGAGTTTCTTTTAACACAGTACTATACACACTTTCCTGTTTTTCTTTTTTCTTTTTTTTTTACAATAAAATCAAAATCAAGTGAATTAGTGCAACAGGATTTAGTTTGCTTGTTTAGTTTAGTTTCACTCCAGAAGACATAACTCCTGTTTATTGTGGTATTAACCAATCAAACTTCAAAACTACCAAAGTGTGAGTGTGTGTGTGAGTGAATAATGCATGTAAGAGAGAAACAGTGTGATTGTACCTGTGTGTGCGTCTGTGTGTGTGTAAGAGAGAGAGAGAGAGAGAGAGAGAGTGTGTGTATGAGAGTGTAAAAGAGTGTAATTTCGTGTTTGTGTGTGTGTGCGCCCATGTATATGTATAACAACATCGGTATTACACAGATGTTAGGAGGAGATGGTGAATTATGTGGACATTATGTATAAAATTCAATCACACTAAATATTTTTTTATTTTCAGAAAGTAAAACTACACATAATTTCCTGTAAGGGTTGGGTTTAGAGATTGGATTTGGGGTTAGAGCATTCAAAAGTTTGTAGAGTATAAAAACAATTGTAACCTATGTAATGTCCCCACAATTCACAAAAGTGTGTGTGTGTGTGAGAGAGAGAGATAGAGATAGAGTGAGAACTGTGTGTGAGAGTGTATGAATGTGTAAGAGTGTACATTTAGGTGTGTGTGTGTGTGTGTGTAAAAGAGAGAGAGAGAGAGAGAGAGAGAGAGAGAGTATGAATGAACATGCTGAATTATCTCATCAGTGAAGTGATTTTCTGGTAAAAGAGCCTGACGATGTGAATTCTTGTACCATAGAAATTATTTACAGAGAAAAACAGTATCGTAAGCCATGTTTCTTTTCATTCTGCTTAATCAAGTGCCCCAAAGATATTTAAAATAAACAAAACAATATGATGTCTTTTGACTGCCTTCTTTAATAACGACATTACACAATACTTGTACTTTTACTTTCAGTACTTGAGTAGTAAATTTTGAAATAAACTACTTGCAATACTTAAGTACAAAAAATGTTGAATACTTTTGTACTTCCACTTAAGTATGGTGCTTAAAGAGCACTTCTACTTCTACTCAAGTCACTTTTTGATAGAGCACTTGTACTTTTACTTAAGTATGGGTCTCTAGTACTTTATACATCTCTGCTTATATACAGGGATGGGCAGTATTTATGATACAAGTATTTCAAATACAAAATAGTGTTTTGTAATTGAATAGTGTTGATGAAAATGGGTGTACATTTTGTATCAAAATACTTTAGTGTCTTGTATTTTTAAAATACTGCAAAATACGTTGCATGAAGTCTTCATGATGACATCATAAAATACAGCCTTCGATTGGTGCTTTTGCAGTTATTTGTCTAGGCTTGAGATCAGAACAGAAAATTGATTAAGAAGGTGGTCCATGCTTGCAGTATGGATGGAAATTATGCGACATACATAAAGAAAATAGCAGACAAATGGCAACAAAAGTCAGCAATCATTGAAAATAGTATACTGCACACTGCTCAGACCAGTAATATATAATGGCAGTATAGTGTACAATTTGGCATCAGCATCTTTGCTTATGAAATGAGATGGAATAAAATATTAGTCCTAAAGAACAGGATGTGGAGTCTTCAGCACATAGTCATTCTCCGGCTATGCAATAGATGGAAACAGAATGAAGAGATACAGTACTATGTTTCAACTTTTTATATGCATGACATGATTTTTACATAAAGAGATCCTCTTAAACACAGGACTTTCTGTATGAAATTGTACACCATTTATGCTAAAATGGTAAAGTCAGTTCAATGGTGAAGGGATTGAGCAAATATGCCAATTGATTGAAGGTTTGCAAAGAAATGTCATGCTCTCTTGTAAAAGTATTTTGTAGTATTTTTAAAATACAAAAATACAGTATTTCATTTTGATACAAGTTGTGGCTGCGGTCTTTTGTAGTTTATTTTGATACACCTAAATCTAAAGGTATTTGGTATTTTATTTTAAAATACATTTTAATGTATTTTTGCCCAGCCCTTTTTACGTGGACATGCATGTATGTGTGTAAAATACTAATAAAATCTGTATTTTAATACTTTAAGTCGTTTTATATGATCAAAAGGGAAAATAAACCTACATACATCGATGTATGAACACATTTTCATATTGAAACCTGGAACTGAGCCATGACCTAAATGCATCATGCAGGAAACACATGACTGGAATGAACCCAAATACGACTCTTTTGTGGAAACATTTGTAACCTAAATCTTGTTATTAGTAAACGGACATGCTCAATCTCGCAGAACATTAGTTCCCATTCACTTGTTTCCGGAAGGAAGTGAGAATCTGCGGACCGCAGCTGACGGTCAGCTGATGTGTCAGACCAGCCCTCACGCGTTGTTTTGTTGTCTTTTATTTCTAGGAAAAGACGTCTAACAATTGCATGAATTGCTAAACGAATATTTGTTTAGTCGTAATTCCGAGAATATCTCTCTTCGGCGTTTGACAGCAATCTTTAGAACTGAAGCGAGAAAGATGTATCGACTGACCCACAGAGCCGCTGTCAATTTGTTGACGTTTTCATCGTTGCTATGTTTTCTGCTTTTATTGTCCGCACAAACATCAGAAGCTAAGGTAAAGTATCATTTTTCCCGCTTTATTGTAATACACGAAAATAATACTTTGTGCTCTTCGGCGCGTACTGATGTTATGGGCAATGCTAACTAGCTATTAGCATGTGGTAGTGTATGTGAAATAAAAGCACACGTAACGTTGCATCATTAAAAATGCAACGCTTTTCTGACTTCAAACGATGTAAAATGTGTTTTTAGTGCTCATAAACGTGTGGTTTGACTTAGTCATTTATTAATGTATATATGCAAGCTTATGCCTTTGGATTGGTTTCATCAGAATTCGGAAGATATCCGGTGCAAATGCATCTGTCCACCCTACAAAGAGGTAGATGGGAAGATCTACAATCAAAACGTTTCCTTGAAAGACTGGTAAATAATTTACTAAGGCTTTAAGCGAGTCTACAGTACTTTCAGTTATAAACTAACTCTTTGACCCTCTGTTCACTGATCCATAACCTCTGAATATATTGATATGCACAGTAATTGCCTTCATGTGGTGGAGCCGATGCCCGTTGAAGGCAAGGATGTGGAGGCATACTGTTTACGCTGTGAATGCAAATATGAAGAAAGGAGCTCTGGAACTATCAAAGTAAGTTCATTTTGTTTACATGACATGACAAATTGAAATGCATGGAGACAGGGAATTTAGAGAGAGGGCTTGGCGATATGACAAAAAATCTCATATCACAATATAATTCACCTCATATTCTGATAACAGGGTAAATATACTATGTTTCATCTGAGTTTTACTTCTAAAATGAGTATTTATTTCAACTTAGGTTCTTGTTCAGTTATTTCACTTTAAAAGCAATAAAAATATCCTGTTCATCACCATAAAGGTGAAATAACCAAACTTGCACACAGGAGTCTTACAAAAATGCTCATTTTAGGTGGGACTTGGAGGCTTTTGCATCTCAGCTCTTTATGCAGGTCATAATAGTTGTTTTTCTATAAATTTAACCAATTTATAGTTTTTGTATAGTAACATGGAAATGACCGTTTTTTTTTTTTTTTTTTACATTTTATATTATATACACCAAGGGTGTCTCAACTCACTCCTGGAGGGCTGGTGTTCTCGAGAGTTTAGCCTAACCCTAATTAAACACTCCTGAACCATTTAATCAAGCTCTTACTAGATATACTAGAAATTTCCTGGCAGATGTGTTGGAGCTAAGTTATGCAGGACACCGGCTCTCCAGAAACGAGTTTGGACACCCCTGGTAAAGACCATTCCAATGTGGCGATGTCACTGGCCCTCGAACATTTACTGCTCGTACAAAGTACCAATTCAATCATATGAAATGTTAAAAATCTAACATTATTTATCAATATGTGGACCTTTTTGGATACTTTGTAGCTTTAGTAATTAAAAAATGTAAAACAGAAAACAGGTTAGGACCATTATTATGGTTTACCTCTATCAAAATGGTCTATACACCTAAAAATGTACTCATTTCATGTGTGTTTATTTTTTCCTGGGTAATGTTTGATTACGAATGTAGGAATGTCAATTAAAAATGAATGAAATTTAAAACTCTTCACAAAATGATTACAGTCACCCTAAATAAAGGATTGTTAAATGGAATGCAAAATGTAAATGTTGTACCTTCTAGCTTGTCAAAAAAACAAGCAAAAACTCACTGCACCCCCTAACCAAAACATTTGCCTTTTTTACTTTAGTAAACTTATCACTCAATTGTCGCTGGTGTCTTTTTGATCTTTGATGTTTGAGAGTGCCTAGACTCTCCTTCATTTACTACCTTTAAGCTTGTGTGACACCATAAAATACATTATAGAGCATAATATGAAATGAAACTATAGACTTTTTACATTACATTACATTACATTTAGTCATTTAGCAGACGCTTTTATCCAAAGCGACTTACAAATGAGGACAAGGAAGCAATTTACACAACTATAAGAGCAACAATGAATAAGTGCTATAGGCAAGTTTCAGGTCTGTAAAGTCTAAGAAGGAAAGCATTAGTATTTTTTTTCTTTTTTTTTTGGTACAGTTAGTGGTATATCCAGAGAGGCAATTGCAGATTAGGAAGTGAAGTGGAGACACTAAATAGTTGAGTTTTTAGTCGTTTCTTGAAAATAGCGAGTGACTCTGCTGTTCTGATGCAGTTAGGGAGTTCATTCCACCAACTGGGCAGATTGAGCGTGAGCATTCACGAAAGTGATTTCTTCCCTCTTTGGGATGGAACCACGAGGCGACGTTCATTCACAGAACGCAAGTTTCTGGAGGGCACATAGATCTGCAGAAGTGAGAGCAGATAAGAAGGAGCAAGGCCAGAAGTCACTTTGTAGGCAAACATCAGAGCTTTGAATTTGATGCGAGCAGCAACTGGCAGCCAGTGCAAACGGACTAGCAGCGGAGTGACACGTGCTCTTTTAGGTTCATTGAAGACCACTCGTGCTGCTGCTTTTATTTTGTCCATACTTTATAGTCAAAATTAGAAGTGGATTTAAAAAAAGTTTTGTTGTTGATTGAATAGTATTAGGACTACTTGAAAGGTTTTGATCTACTTTAAGTATTCAGCAGACATTTCTATTCAAAGCAACTCACACTCTCTGACCATAAGATCATGGCTGCTCCACTTCAGATATTGATCACTGTATGTCATCATACTTCCAAGCCCTAATCATAGAAATATTAATCTTTCCTTCTTTTACAGTGCACTATAATAATTTACCTGTCTATTCTGGGCCTTCTGCTGCTTTATATGGTCTATCTGACACTGTTGGAACCTATATTGAAAAGAAGGCTGTTTGGCCATTCACAGCTCATTCAGAGCGATGACGACGTTGGGGTAAGTGCTTTGTTTCATTTTTGCAAGTCTTCAGGAAATAATGAAACTGTTTTTTTTTTTTTGTCATTGTTTATGCAATATTTTTATATCTTTGATTTTATTTATTTTGAAAAAAAAAAATCATACACTTTAAACAGTTCTTTAAACAAAATACATTTGAGCGCAAGCTTATTATTTTCCCCACCCCATTACCGCACACATCATTTGTTTTACTTCAACCTGTCTTTAAAATATAAATGAAGAAAAGTTTAATTAAATCAGTAGATTTTGGTCGTTTCATTGAAAGCGCTTCAAAAAAGGATCAAAGGGTAAATTCATATTAATTAAGCAGTTTGATGATGATTGTTTTATATGATCATTAAGTCTTTCATTTACATACAAACATTGATCAGTGTACATAAACAAGCTCAGTCATACCTGCTTGACATTCAAAAATGTCTGAGCTTCAGTTAACAAGATGCATGTAATTTTGGGGTAAACTATACTGCAAAAAATGCTTTTTTTATATTTATCTTGTTTCTAGTCCAAATATCTAAAAAAAAAAATTAAACCAAGAAGTGTTTTCTAGATGCACAAATTATTGTCTTATTTTAAAAAATAATATGCCAAAATTAAGTAGGTTTTTTCTTAAAACAATCTACCAAAATAATCTACTAATAGGGTCAAAATGAAGAAGTAGATTTTTTATACCTCATTAGCAGATTATCTAGCTTGTTTTAAGAAATAAAATCACTTGATTTAGGCATATTACGTCCTAAAATGAACACTGCTTTTTTGCTTGTCTAGAAAATGATTCTTGATTTAGGAATATTTGGACTAGAAACAAGAAAGAGAAAAATTAAGAAATGCATTTTTTGCGGTGTAGCCTTGCTGTGTAGATTTAATGAAAGCTTAATTGTACTTATCTGTATAATATATAGTTTGAGCATCGATATCACAATGTGTGAATCTGTATAATCACATGGTAGGTTCTGCACTACTTAAATTGTGATTTTATATACTGTAGTTTAGGGTTACATATATTATATTGGGAGTATATAGTCACCCAGTTCAAAATACGTTACAAAAATACATATTTTGAACTATTTAAACAGTAAAGTCTTTGCAGTGTTATTTTATATTAGATTTTTTGCAATTTTTGTATCTGAATGCAATTTGACTAGCCTGAAAACCATAAAGCACTGTTAATTTCACTTTTATGTTTACTTTATTGCATTTAGCTGTACTTTTGTTTATCAAATTACATGCACAATTTATTCCCCTAAAGAATCATGCTAATCAATAGAAAATTAATAAATTGTTTCCAAAATAGAGATATTCAAGTCATCTGGTGAAATTGTATGTATATTGCAATATATATTGCATAAATCATACAAAATACTGCAACGTCAGATCTTTCCAATATCGTACAGACCTAGTTGTGATATTATTGTGAAACCTAATTTTAATGAATGTGTACAATAAAATATTGTTTCATGAAATATTGTCATGTGCTAAATTACGTTCTAAAATGATGTTTCAGGACCAGCAGCCTTTCGCCAACGCCCATGATGTGCTTTCCCGCTCTCGCTCTCGCTCCAACATGCTGAACAAAGTGGAGCACGCTCAGCAGCGCTGGAGGAGACAGGTCCAGGAACAGCGGAAGTCTGTGTTCGACCGCCACGTTGTTCTCAGCTAAAAGCTTTTACAGTCCGGACACTTATCATGTGGGTTCTGGGAGTGTGCTAAATGCTGGCCTTTCTCCATAAAGTCACATCTCATTGGTCAGCAGCCCTCAGTGTGTACATCTCTTTTTGGTGTGTCGTCTTGACCAACGTGTGAGACCCTGTGTATTATTAGAGTCTTATGCTTACGATACAGACGGTTTCCATTAATTATCACTGTGTTCTTTGCATTTTAAAATCACACATTCTGAAATTAGCAGAAAAAAAAGAAAGAAATGTTCACTTCTGCAGTCCCATCACACTGAATTTGATGTGGGGATAGAAGTGCCAATTTCCTCATAAATTTAGGTCATAAATTTTAAAATATAAAACAAAATCAGAATTGTTACTGAACCCAAAATAATGCTAATTTCCAGTTGTGTATTGTATTGTACAGTGTAAAATTCCCCTCTATTCTTTTTCTTCTCTTACTTGCCTTTCAGTACCTTGCGGTTTGCCAGCTATTTTGTGTAAATAATCAGTGAATGTTTTTTCGTCATTGTCCTCCTGATATGCTGTTTAATGGCTAACTTATCAGTTCTTCTATTTGTGTAGATTCACGTTCCAGATTAATGATGTTGCACTTTTTTCCCAGTTCCTCGCTCTGGTAGGACAGTATTTTTCAAGGTACATTCTTTGAAGATGTCAGAACTATTAACATTTGTGTGTGTGTATATATGTAATAATTAAAACGTTCAGGTACATTATATACATTTTATTACCTTCTGATTTACATTACAGAGCTGTTAATACGTGAATGCTGGTGTCGTGTCTCAGTTTGTTCCTTCATAACTGCTGGTCAAATTACGCAGCTTCGGGTATATCAAAATGCTCTCTAGGTGGCGCTGTTTCCGAAAAGGCTTCTTTTTGCTTCAGCATATTCCGTTAGGTGTAGTTCAGTTCTGAATTAAACATGCACTTATATTTAGTCAAAAGACAGAAAGGAAAACTGTTTGAAAAGTTCCTATGTGTAAAACTTCTGTCTGAGCACTCATACGTCACTTATTAAAGTATGGTCTGCACAAAATTGAAATGTAGGCTACACACTATTTAATGTTTTTAAATAGTGTGTTTTTTAAATAATTTATTTCTTTGCTGTTAAACTCAAAATAAGTTTTGAAGAATGTCGAAAATGAAATAGACCTACTGTATGGGGGGACGCGATACTGGATGTCACAGGGTACCAGCATCTGAGGAACAAACGAAGTTTTCATTCTTCATTCATCAAGTTTAGTTTTTCAGTATGTTTTGTTTCCGGAATTTTTTTAAGAAAGGGTTTTCTGAATAACAAGTGCATATACAGCTATATTTTGCTTATTTTGACACATTATTTAAAAATGTTATCTAATAAATAATTATTTATTTTTAGTGTGGTCAGACATAAATTTGGTAAATATCTAATTTTGGAGCCTTGAAAAGTCATGTGAAATAATTAACTGCAATGCGATACTATTACAACCTACAGTAGCTCCTGCTCACTGAGCAAGGTCCTACACAACACATAAAAAGTTAATAGAATAAGGGGCGTGGACACATCACAAGATCCAAATCAAATAATTTTACCATGTCAAAGTCAAATTTATACATTTAAATTATGTTCCCTTCTAAAACTTTTGATAGTGAAAATGGCGAGTGGCTATGTTGGAAATCTACTTGCCCCAGTGGCTGGTGATTAAAAAAGTTCATGTCAAGCTCTGGAACTATCCCTTTAACATAACATTTTTTTTCTGAAAAACTAAACGCGTAGTGTTGTTACTGGAAAGTATGCAGATCATAAACGAACTAGCTTACGTGAAATCGTTTAGCACAGACTTTGCATATCACATTTCTCAACTTTCCTCATCATTTCCTGCTCTCCCGCCTCCTCCTCTTCTCAGCCAAAAATACTGGGACCGAAAGATGAGCGCGCACTTCACTGAAAACCAACGCAAACTCAAACAATGGATATGTGAAAAGATAACTCTGACAAAATTACATCATTTCACCGTCACATGCCAAGAAAAAGGTAGGAATTTATATATCTCTGGCTGACTTTTTTAAATGAACGCTTCTCCTGTGATCCACTTTTAAGTTTCTTGTTTTTTGAATAGATAAAACAAATCTCGCCACAATTTAGGGTATCATTAGATAGTTAAAGTATCGTACCCTATGTGTAATTACACTAATTAAAGATTAGTAACGTAACATGTCAATAATCGGGAATAAGAATAGCAATAATAATACAAAGGGCAAACAATTCCTTGCGTTTAAATGTGAGCAGTTAAAACTGACCGAGATTCAAACGTGTTTTGCTAGAACTAATAACAGGCAATGACGAAATTTCTCTCCATCATAAGAGATATATTACACATGCTAATGAGAGCAGTGAAAGACAATACAATCAGATTGGATTTTTCATTAGGCTCTGCAGACCCATAAACTCAGCATTGGTGTTTTACTATGAACTAGAAACAAGGAGGCGCTCTTAAACCTAAAATAAATCACAACATATATTCTTCTTCGACACCATCACCATTATAATTATGAAAATATGAACAGTAATACGCTGTAAGGAAACCCTTTAGCAGTATATCTTTCAAAAATTAATTTATATCTCGAGTTTTTCTAGTAATAACTGACATTTACATTCAGATTTCAGTCTGAGCTCAAACTAACAGCAACAGTTTACTGTGTTTTTTTTTTACACTGTTTCTTATCTTTTTGGTAAATAAGGCCATCATCTGGGGTTGTCTGTCCCTCAGGGCCATAGTGTGGGAAATGATTAGGGCCCTCTTCTGTTTCTCTCACTTACTCTCAGCCTCCTCAAGACTGTCTGTCCTTTCCCTTCGGCTTATCATGATTCTCTGACAGATCTGTCTTGAATGTTTCTTTTTGGTCTGTCCTTGTCCTTGTTTCAAATGTAATTCCTCTCATTGCTACACTTAGAGAAACTCTGGAAAAAATGGCTCATATAGTGATATCAATGCACATTTGTATGGAGCTAATAATATGCCAAAACAATCTGAATTTGAATTGTGTTAATTTGAATTATTGACAATTGTAATTTAATTAATCAGAATTTTTATATGCCGTTAAAATTGTTTTGAATTTGAATTTCTTAATTTAAATTTGAATTGCGTAACTTGAAAATTGAACTTCTAAAATGTAAAACATCTGAACTGAACTTAGATTCTGCTGAATCTGAATTTCACAATCTGAGTTTCTGGTTTTGAATTTAAGAATACTGAATTTGATGTTTTGAATTTCTTCATTTTGAAAACTTGAAACTGTATTAACTGTAGGTCTATAAAAAAATTCAGCCTTGAAAAATTCAGTTGTCTTAAATTTCATAAGTTCAATATTCAAGTTATGCAGTTAAAATTTAAATTGGGAAATTTAAATTCAAAACCATTTTAACGACATAAAAATTCAGATTTATTAAATTACAATTGTCGATATTTAAAATGAAGACAATTCAGATTGTTTTGGCATGTTATTAGCTCCATATTTTTGTCAGACGTATTATCTCAAGCTGAATTAAGAAATATTAGTAGGTCTATGTAGTAGGATGCAATTTTGCCTTTAGAAATATGTTATTTGAAATACAGCAAAGACATATTTGAAGGAAAGAAAATCTATATTAAAAGCATAGTTCACCAGAAATTGTAACATTTACTCACCTATTTATGTCTATGTTGAACACTAAAGAAGATATTTTGAAGAATGCTGGAAGCTGGTAATCATTGACTTATATATTTTTCATTTTTGGGTGAACTATTTCTTTAAGACATCCTTTAAAATGATTTTTTTTCTGCATTGGCCAGTCATTGGTAAATTTATTTGCACACACACACACAGATTACATTTTATAGAATGACCAATAATACAAAATATTTTCTTACATTACATAAGCATCGCAATTATGTGGCTATAGCTTGATTTTCTTCTTTGTATTTTTAAATGCTTGAACGGACTGATTGTGACATGAGGATTTTGCGGTAAGGGTGTGGTGAACATGCAGGGCTGTTGGAAACGGATACTGTTGTATTTCGGAGATATTGTGGGTTTTGCTGAACATGACTGATGAAGCTCTTACAAATGTGCTTAAGAAAGGGGAAACATTTTAACAGGCCTGGCATAATGTTTCTCTTGCAAAACTACTTTAACAGGTGTATTTTGTACTTTTGACTTGTAATTGACTCTGTGGTGGAAATGTAGGTGTATTTGAAAATAAATACACAGGCGTAAGGAAATACCTTATAGACCAAATAGTTCTGTTTTCCATTCTGACTGCGTTAGATGTTAATCAAACTGTATAATGGCTGAAAGGTGCAAGTGTTCAGTGGTAATCCATCAGCAGTTGGTTAACAACAACAAAATGTAGGCCTCTGTGAATATATTTTTCCTCATCTTAAATTTCATTTTATATCCATAGTTTATGTTACATAGTGTTTTTGTTTGTTTGTTTTTATTTCTGCATTTTTCATAGTAAATTTAAGTAGTTAAATCTTAATTATTTAATAAAAAAAATGAAAAAATGATTTATTTAATGAAAATTTAAAAATTAAACTTATACAATTTCAAATTCTACAGTAACAATTTAACAATTATATTTTAAGAAATTTGGAGGAATATTTTTGTTCCCCTCAAGTTATTTTTTATTCCTTTTATAATTTAAACATGGAAGAAAGTTTATGATAATATCTTTAAATATATAGAATATTATAATTAATAATAAGATTAATTATTTTTACTTTAAGTAAATTTAATAAATAAATAAAATGTTTGAGTTACACCAAACTTTTTTAAATGATTTACTGTGAAGTTTGTGTGTTTTCTTGTCCTTTTATAGCCTGGTTTATAATTCTGTGACAAGTGATCAGCATGACCCAAGGTGCGTGCAATATGCGTAGCTGTGCATTTATACTTCTGTGCGCTGTAAGTTTCTCTGCAATAACACTTCAGAAACACTAGCTGGCAGTAGGTGTTTGTTCCTCAGTGTTGAGTTTCTCCGCTGGTGTTTTGTTTTTTTCTGAACGCTACCTTAATGTACAAGTGGCTCAAACGTGCTCATTTTGACGCTGAAATCGGCGGACATGCAACAACTTAATCATAAGGTAAACACAAAACAACAGGATCCATCTGGGGCTCTCACCTACCGGCCACACTCGTCAGCGCTACCAAGGCGACCAATCACAGAGCTTGCGCTACGCATCGTTGCGACGTGTAGTTACATTTTGTGAGAGGTGCGCATCAACTTTGCCGACAGCCACGGCGAGGGCTATGCGTCCACGCGTAGGCTGTGCCATAGCATAAGCATGCACTTGACGCAGAAGTATAAATCAGCCTTAAGGGCCAATGGAGGAAATTTGGCCCCAACTCCCCTACTCTTTACGAGAAGTGCCATGGGATTTTTAATGACCATAGAGAGTCAGGACCTCAGTTTAATGTCTCATCTGAAGGACAACACCCACTGACAGTATAGCATCCCCTTCACTATACTGGGGCATTAGGACGCACACAGACTGCAGGTTGTCTGAGACCCCCTGTTGGCCTCACTAACATCTCTTCCAACAGCAACCCAGTTTTCCTATGTGGTCTATCTAGGTACTCACCTGGCTCATCCCTCCTTGGCTTCAGTAAGTAACCGCTCTTGGGCTGCAGGGTGAAATGGCTGTAGATGATTAATTAATGTGCATGTTTAATTTCAATAATCACTCAAGACATGCAGACTTCATTTTGTTTTTAAGTTCATGAACACTATAGCTCATATGCAGATATGATTCAATTTAAAGTCCAGTGTTTGATTTGTTTATCCAAAAATATAAGTTCTGCCATGTTCTCTGCTATACGATCCCATTTTTATTGCTGGATTCCAGGATTCTATTTTCAGCTTACAGTCCCAGTGAACTGGACATTGCTTCAGACTTTTCAGTGTGATGTAGTAACTGAAACAGAATACTAAGTAGGGGGCGGAGTCTTATTGTGTTGTTCCTCTTAACGTTCACTCACAGTAAATGAACAGCGAGTGGGGCGTGGCTAAGCATATTTCACCCTAGTCATTTTCATAATTTTGACTCATTTCAGAGTGGAACAAATGTTTTACCAAAACATAATAATTTTAAGTAAATTAGCTTGGATTAATTGTTCATGATGTGCCCTACCAAAAAAACAAACATTAAATTTAAATTCCAAACGGACATAAATGGAAATCACGGGGCCCTTATAATGAAACCAGCTCTTGGGCACTTGGTTGAATTAACATATGTGGCAAATCATGTTCAAATGCATGTATTTCATCAACTTCCTCTGAGGAAAGACCGAAGGAGCATTGAGACTTCTGTAATTGCAATCACAAGGATGATGGGAGACCCCATAGGGATGCATCTCAAGTATATATCAGCCTTTACGAGTGCTGCTAATCATTGGAGAATTAAACTGGTGTGCTACCGGTGTGTGGTTCTTATGCTGCTGGATTAAAAGCAAAGCCAGTATGGAGAAGTTTTATTTGCTGTGAACAAAACAACATATCTGCTTAGATGTGTGATAGTAAGCTTTGTTAAGCAGTGTCCATATTTCGACTGGGTCAACTCTTAGACGGTGATGATTAGAAAAAGCTCTGTTTGGCTTTCAGATTGTGTCCATAGCAAACACTTCCAGCCACGTATTTTGGTGTTGTGATCACTGTAACAGGCATCCTCTGCCATGGGAGATGTTTAGTCTGAGCTTTATGGGGCTGGTCTGCTCAATGTCAAGAAGCAAGGTTAAAGGGACAGTTCATCCCAAACATGAATATTTGCTGTTAATATATAACTGTTTTTGGTGCACAAAAGTGTTCTTGAAGCTTCGTATGATTACAGTTGAACCACTAAAGTCACATTGAATGTTTTTGGTTCATTTTCTGGACTTTGAATCTGGACTTGGGATTATTGCTTTATATAAAGAACGAGATTCGGATCTAAAATATCTTAATTTGTGTTCTGAAGATAAATGAAGGTCTCAGGGGTTTGGAATGCTACGATGGTT